CAAAAAGTCAGGAAAGTGGGTGAGTCCAGCTCTATTTAGGTGGGTGGGAGTGGCGAAAGAGGCAAGGGTTTACATAAAAAGGGCAGTTTCATTACGTGTACAGCAGCTCATTTTCACATCGGCAACACAAACACAGATGCAGGGGAGATAAACAGTGATTCTGAGAGCAGCATTTACAGCGAATCTGAGAGCTGTGTGGAAGTGGAGGATTTTCAGTTCATAATATTGTAGTGATATTACTGTAAACTTAGTAACTAAATCATTTCTACTAAGGTCTTTAAAAACTGAAAGAGTACTGCTGATGATACTAACTAACTTTTCCATCTGAATAAACAAAAAACATTGATCACACACTTAACAAACCCGGACAGGACAATCAACATGAACCAGAGCAGGGACTTTTGTTTAAAAGAAGATGAGTGGTAAATCAGGATTTCACCATTTTCAGGTTCAAAAGCTCTTAGGTAAAAAATGTTCCTAACAAACATATTTTTGTCGCATGTTAGCAGACCACTGTAATCCACACATGTGGATCCATACACGAGATGTGCTCTCATTGCAGGGAAATGGAAACAAAACCTGTTGCGGAACATTTATAAACACAACACTGACAATGTCTCTAAACAATTGTTCTACTACTTGTTTGAATTATGGTTGGCAACACAACATGGCGTCTCTCTGAACACTGTAACAGGTAAAAAGAGTCTTCAAACTTATATCCTGCATGTTAATGTAGTTGCATTTTGTTCACAATAGAGCACGCTGATTGGTTCAAAGCAAGCCTTTCTCATGAATTAATAAACAGATGTGCTGAAAACTCGATGTTCCTTTGTACCGATACAGACAGCTAATCTCTATGATCAACGCAATCTTTACGAATTTACACAATGACCCCACCGCTGTGACGTTGCTTTAAAATTTTTTTATAAACTAAAAGAAAGAATTTGCTCTAAACTATTTTCACTTTTTAGCTAAATATATGTGTCCTAATAGTGTTTTATCAACGTGAGACATATATATATGACTGTCAACATCTAAAAAAATGCGTTTGGGTGTTTTGTGACCCTTTAAAACACTGAAGAAACATTTGGTTCATAAATATGTATTTAATTCACACTGCTCTGATTTTCTCCACAGTCCAAAGACATGTGATATAATTGAATTGAATAAACTCGATTGGCAGTAGTGTGTGAGAGTGTGTGAATGAGTGTATGGGTGTTTATGCACTAGGGGTTATCATCTACTTTACGGAACATATGCTAGAGTAGTTGGCAGTTCATTGCGCTGTGGCGACTTCTGATAAATCAAGGACTAAGTTAAAGGAAAATTAATGAATAAATGAATGAATGAATGAATACTCGAAACAAGATCAAATTATATCTGTGGCTACTCTATAGTCATTTTAAGACTGTAATAACTTTTGATACCTCCATGGATTATGGACTCCGCATATGGGGTGGCTTATATATATATATATAGTACTGAATAAATCTTAGACCGTCAGGGAGACAGCATCTTATCTCAGCATTTGAAAGCACCTTCAGGCTTATTTAGGATCAGTGAATATTTTTTATAGTCCTTCAGAGAAATGTGCCAAGCCTGTCGGACATTTTCCTGTGCTTATGCTGCTGCAGTCAAGCACATGATTGCCCAAGAAGAAAGCATGTCCACATAAGGCCAACATTTGCATATGCTTACAACACACATCTCATTTAAAGGAAGAAATCTCTTCAGTGGTTTTGTGTTGACTAATTCATGTTTTGAAAAGCAAAAAGATTCAGGAAAGGTCAAGAAAATGGTGTAAAAACTAAATTCTGATTGCTTTAAGAGGCTAACATTACAAGAGGCCCTCAAGGAAAAATCAAAAGCTAAAAAGAAGGGGGAAATTGCCACTTTGAAGCAAAACACTATGGAAAACATTTCTAAATCAAGTTGAATATGCACTTATACACACATCAAGTGGCATCAAGACCTCTAAACTGAAAACCAAAGTATACTTCCGATATGCAAAAGGTGATTCAATATTCATCATCAGGACAAATCTTAAATCAGTACATATGCAGAGTGACTGCTAAATCAGAGCAAGACAACAAAGAAGTACCTCGGATGTGTCAGACTCATCTATCTACACTCATATAGACAATAATTTACACCGGGGCATTGAAAGTTGTCCCATTGAGTCTCTGCAGCATCTGGCTAACAGTGAGCGCTTGTTTATTTACATGGAGGTCTCAAGAGTGTGTTTGTACTCAGCACTGTGGTGCTACTGTAACCAGTAATGGTAGTAAAGGGATGTGGCCTTGACATTTGGTGTGTATTTGTGCATACAGGTTAACAAAAAAAAAAAAAAGTGTTTTAATTCTTTCCATCAACGGGGACTGAATAAGGCTGAGATTTACATTTACATTTACATTTAGTCATTTAGCAGACGCTTTTATCTAAAGCGACTTACAAATGAGGACAAGGAAGCAATTTACACAACTAAGAGCAACAATGAATAAGTGCTATAGGCAAGTTTCAGGTCTGTAAAGTCTAAGAAGGGAAGTATTAGTAGTATTAGTAGTATTAGTATTTTTTTATTTATTTATTTTTTTTTTGAGATGATCAACAGACACAATGGAGGGCCAAAATGGAGATCAATCTTACAGTGGCACCAAATGTAATACACTGTAAAAAATGCTTGGTTTCATACAATCTCTGACAAACAAACAATGTTGTTCCGCCAAAAAAAAAAACGTTGTTTCAGCTCATTTTAAAGAAGTAATTTGAGCAAACAGCACTAATATTTGTGTGTGTGGAGTTCATTTATTGAGATTGCTCAAAGTGGGGTTATTACAGAATATCTCATAAATGCAATCAAAACTGAATTCTTTCTACAGGCAAATGTGCTGTTCTGCCTGATGGGATCTGGAAGGAAAACAGACATATGAAACAAGTTCCTCTTGTAACAAACCCTCACGTCTAACATGTGGTTTAGACCTAATGGGTTGTAAACAGCGTTTGGGTTTCCATACTGATGCCATTTGACTTCCAGATGAAGTAGGTTTAGTTGATACTCTATGCAATCTTGTATCAAGAGAAAACTATATCAATCTATGACAATCCACCACCACAAAAAACATTAAAAAAATCATCTGCCAGAAAGGTTATATGGTGTCAATTATGCAAAAATTTATAACTGTTGATATTTTCACTCATGACTTCATGAGTTCAATCAAAGTACAAAAGTGCAAAACATTTAAGCAAAAAAAATCCCCATCCAAAAAGCATGACTGGGTTCATTTAGGAAAAACACCATTTTCCATTTAGACAGTGAGTGAGTTCACAAAATGTGTTAAAACAATTGAGAAGCATGACAATATCATACAGAACAGCAGAAATTTGGGGTCATTCATTACCACAACCCACCCCGTAGGAAATGACATCGGCAAAAACTCCAGAAAACCCATTTAGTTATTCAAATACACACATTTATGATGACTAAAGTAATGGTGGTTCTCCATTATAAATACTTGGCTGGGCATTGTTCCCGTGCCAACATGTGGGGAACTGAGTGTCATGGTTTTCTATGTTTTTTTTCTTTCTGTCTGTGAACACACAGACTCTGAAAATGAACATGATTATGAAATAGATTTTTCTGAACCTCTACCAGCACTGAGGTTTTTGGTCTAAACCTAATACAGTAAGAACATTCCCCAACAGTGATGACAAAACTAACAATGTGGATAAAAGAAATCTGAAGATGTAAAAGCAGCTGCTGTTTTCTATTGTGTCCTTAATAAATATTAAACAAAAAAAATTGGGAAAGATTGTTATCTGCAAAACTAAACAGAAAACCCAAAATTCTTTGCCCTCTTGCTTCTCATTTGTATTTTTTTATCTTTATTTATAATTTTGACTAACTGACTGATTGTAATATTGAGGCAACACAGTGATCTCCATTCATTTTCTATTCAGCTTACTCTCTTTATTAATCAGGGTTCACCACAGAGGAATGAACTGCCTACTTATCCAGGATATGTTTTATGCAGCGGATGCCCTTCCAGCTGCAACCCATCACTGGGAAACACCTAAACTGATAATTTAGCTTACCCAATTTAAATATAGCACAGGTCTTGGGACTGTGGGGGAAACTGGAGCACGCGGATGAAAACCATACGAACACGGGGAGAACATACAAACTCCAAACAGAAACGACAAACTAACCCAGCCGAGGCTCGAACCAGCGACCTTCTTGCTGTGAGGCGACAGCACTACCTACTGCGCCACTGCGTCGCCCCTAAGTGAAATCATTTGTTCATTTTATTTTTTTTTTGCACTAACATTTTATATTTTAAATTGTAAATACTGACTTCTTTTCTTGTTATATACAGTATATATTTAAAGGTGACATGAAGTAATATACATTTTTTAACAAGTTAGGTTTAATTATTTATTCGCAGTAATATTTACAGTTTTTAATTATTGAATACAGACTGTTTACTTTTACATTATATATTAGCAGGTGACATGACATGATATCCTTGTTTTAAAATAAACAATTTTAATGATAACTTTGAAGTAATATTAGCCATTTAACTGCCTCTTACCTTAAGTACAGTATATGTTTTTAATGTGACATGAAGTGATATACTTATTATTATAAACATTCATGATATAACTTTTAATATGAAAGTAAAATAAAATTAAACAAAACATTTGTAATTTGTGACATCAAATAAACCCAAGATTTGTGTAAATAATTTTAGTAGAATTACAAACAAACATGTAATTAGTTTATATTGTATAAAAAAATTATATTTTTATGTGTGTAAATAAATAAATAAATTCTTTATTGATTAAACTTATCACAATGTACCACTGTGTGAACATGTTTGTCTGCTGTTTTGTATGATATTAACCTTTTTTTTTGTTTTGTTTTTTCTGAATAATTTTCATGTGAGCTTTAGCAAACCTTATTACTCCTTATTTGCATCCTGTAAACATGTAAATGTTCTTACTGATTCTGTGCCAAGCAGCCTGGTGCCAAGATGCCCTTCGTATCAGTTGTCGGTTTCAGATGTGTGAGCTCCAGCATGTCCACCTGAACATCTGTCACATGACCAGGCAACTGTGGCAAAACTGATAGAATTTTTTCAGCAAGATTGTCCCCATGGTGGCCAACAGCTCCTAGTTTGAAGAATCAGAGAAAAAGGAAATAGTTATTTTAAAGGCCGTAGCATAACAAGTTGTGCATAAACACCATGATATAACTTTGTAAGATGGAGACTCGTTCTAACAACGAAATACATTTTAATAGGCATTTTCTGTAAACCCTAATACAAATGTATGAGTCAACAATTATTTTATTTTAACATTTTGACCCAAATAAATACACTTAAATGTATTTTTTTCTCACATAGTATGTTCTCTTTCCATTAATCTGAAATGACCTGAAATGTATATGAAAAAAATAGATCTGACTCTAGTGCAATCCCTCCAGGATTTTGAGAGTCTAATTGTTCTTGAGATAAAAAAAAAATATATATATAAAAATTTTACCTGTTATTTTTATTATTATTTCTCAGTATTTTCTTAGCAAAACACAGAAGTTGAAACAAATAATGCTATACGATTTGACAATAAATCATCACAAAATTTGTAGATTAATGCTGAAAATATATATAAGTAGCTGCAAAATACTAAAGACAGGGTTCGTACAGTTGCCTGGAATCACTAAAAATGCTTGAATTTTGGTGTAGTGTTTTCAAGGTTTGAAAAGTGCTTCGATTTTGAAAAATTAAAGTGCTTGAAACAGCTTAAAGATTTTACTGTTTTGCTTTCATAAAAATGTATTTTACTAAATAGGTAATAATATATATATATTTGGGGTGACGCGGTGGCGCAGTGGGTAGCACGATCGTCTCACGCATTTGGTATAGGTGTATTGGGTAAGCCAAAAATTGACCGTAGTGTATGAGTGTGAATGAGGGTGTATGGATGTTTCCCAGTGATGGGTTGCAGCAGGAAGGGCATCTGCTGCACAAAGTATATGCTGGATAAGTTGCCGGTTCATTCCACTGTGGCGACCGCAGGTTAATAAAAGGACTAAGCCGAAAAGAAAATGAATGAATGAATGAATGAATGAATGCATACATGTATATCTGCACATGTGCCTATAAGCATGATCTTTTGTCTTTTTTATCTGTGCCTTGTGAAAGTTTTATTAATTCGCTATTTACACTTCCTTGGGTGTTTCCAAAACTTTCTAAATGTCTTTCTTCTGTTGATCACACAAAAATATATTTTAAAGAAGGCTGAAAACCTGTAACTATTGACTTCTATAAAAGGACAAGTGCATGCGATGGAAGTCAATGGTTACAAGTTTTCAGCATTCTTTAAAATATATTTTTGTGTGTTCAACCAAAGAAAGAAACTCTTAAATGTATGGAACAAGTGAAGGATGAGTAAATGATGACGAGTGTATGGGTGAACTATCTCTTTAACTACTAATGACTTAATATTCAGACAGATTGGACTGCACCTGTAAGATCAAGAGTTCTGTCCACAAACACTACTGATGCTTTATTAGGGGCCGTCTTCCTCCTGTTTTTGGCTTGTGGAAGATTGGCCAGCTCGGTTGCGATCAGACGGCTCATCGGACCCACCGAAAAGCTCTCCTCACGGGTACTGATGAACTCAAACAGGCCATTGAGGGTCAATGCAAGAGTTTTAATCTGAATCTGCAGCTCAGGTGGCAGAGAATGCACATCCATGTCCATCAGACTCCCAAATCTCTTCTTCTCCGGCCTCTTCTCATTGATGGACTCAAGATCAACGTCCAATAAAGGAAAGAGATTAGAGAAAGCAGGTAAAAGATGGAGGTGTTCTGTCAAAGGGGCGAAGACCACGGGAGCGTGCATGACCTCAGCAGTGTAGTTCATATCACCCATCCATTCACATAGTTTCTCCTCGAACTGCTCAAACACCGGGTTCCCCTCCAGATCAGCGTTCACATTATTAGCAAGCAGGTGAATGGAGTGAGGAACAGTCGTGAAAACCACACAGTACTGGAAGTGGCTGAGGGAAATGATGTCCTTTATAATGTCTGCGGTTCTACCTTTTAACACAGTGCTGACCACAAACACAGCTTTGGGTTCATTCTGTGCACCCGCTTCAAAGCTCGAGAACTGCTTGATGTTTCGAGCTCCAGCCTCGAATAGTAGCGCAGCTCCTCCGTTCCAGTGGAGACTCTCCGAGCACCGGTCATCCATGAAAACAACAGCCTTTTTTACCTTTGACAGCACCTTCTCCCACGTCTGACCGGGGAAACACACGAGACCATCTGCGGGCAACATATTTCCGCTAATGTCGGCGTTTTTAAATCTGAAGAAGCGATAAAACAGAGCAACTGTCAAACAGACACCACTCAAAACAAACCCATGTGAGTCTCTCGAAGGTGACGTGGCGCAGAGGCGTCGCGATAATATTGCGTCATTGTATCAGCTGTTTATTTGTTTTCATTTTTGAGACTTACAATGTTGTATATTAAACATGTAGGTATACTTATTGCATACGTAGCAATTTTTAAAAATCGATTACTCTATGATTATATATCTATATATTTTTAAATATATCTACGTTATTTTAGAACATACAAAATATATAGTTTTTATATAATTAAAAACAAAACAGACAGATGTGTATATATTTTATATATGAATATATATATATATATATATATATATATATATATATATATATATATATATATATATATATATATATATATATATATATATATATATTAATTAATTAATTTATTTATTTATTTATGAATAAAAATTTTATATTCCGTTTTATTAATATCCCAATAATATAATTCTTCATCTAAGTAGGCTATTTGATTTAACATAACTGACTTTTTATGCCTACCTGAATTCAGATATGTTCATTTTCGAAATGTTGCAAACATAGAAATAATTGAGATTTATCAGTGACCTAAAATTAATTTAAAAAAATGTTTTAAATTTAAACAAAATATGTGTTGAGTAAACATAATATGGGTGAATAAATGTTCATTCAAATCTAAATAAATAAACAAATACATGTATTTTAAAATGTAAACGTTAATAAATAAATGAATAAATAAATAAATAAATAAATAAATAAATAAATAAATAAACAAACGAATGAATGAATGAATGAATGAATGAATGAATAAATAAATAAATAAATAAATAAAGAGCTCTGTCCACACTCTGTGCTCAGCTTATGCTCCTTGAGAGAATGAAACGAAATATTATCTATTGTAAAAAAAATAAAAATAAAAGTCAAGATCTAAAATTAAAGATATAGACAAATAATTGAATAAATAAACAAACAAACAAGCATTTATTAATTCCTTTAAGGCTTCCAGAAATTCTCGGCAGGATAAATTGGCAAGACCAAAAGAGGGGGGAAGTTTCAATGTAGCTTTCACAGAAGGGGCTTTTTATTGGAATATAATTTTGTAGCCTTTAATTTGTGTTGATGTTGGAACTTCCTGCGCGCCCCGCAGAGCACACGTGCACGTGCAGTGCGATGTGTCTCTCTGGTAACGCGCACCTGCTAGAGCAGCACGCGGCGTGTCACTGTGACAGCTGTGACGGTAAACCCTAAAACTTTCACCACACCACATAAACTTAACTTGTCGAACTCGCTGAATCACTGAGTTAAACTTAGCCTCTGGTCTAAAAACAAAGTTCAAATTCCCGGAGGTGATCATGTCTACGAAAGAGGTAGAGAAAACAGCTGATGAGAGCGCTGATGAGGAGACGGACTGGCTTTATGGAGGTGAGAAATAAACACATTGATGATTAAACTTTGAAAACTTGTGTGAATTGATTCAGCAACGAGAATAAAACGCCCTCGTGGTGAGATCAATAATCACTTGACCAGCATCTACCAAATTAAAAGCATTTGTGACCTGACCCTATGTTGACAGCAGAGACCGTTATTTATTCAGCTGCACGCGTTTCATAACATTTACTTTCAAATCACCCCCTTAGTGGCAGCATATGGCATTGATACATTTGCACACACCTAACATAACACAACATATGTTAAGAGAGGGCTGCTACATTAGTACAGCTGATTTAGACAGCTCGTTTCAGACGTGTGTATTATTTTTGTTAACGTGTTATTTGTTTGTTAAATGTTACTCAATGTTACTACAGAGGGCATATGGGGGGGGGGGGCAATCAATACAACTGAAGACGTTTTAATATATCAGGTTTTAAAATCGATTCATTGTTAAATTCAAAGCATTTTAGGCAAATAAAGGAACTATTATCTATTCGAAATACACTTTTTTACATTAAATCCGTTAACAATGTAGTTAAGCAAGTACATTTTAGTTGTGTTTCTTTTGTAAATAAAATTATTTGAAACTTTACAAAATAGTTTGATTAGAGAGTTAAGTTGTTACCAAAACAGCTAAAAGATAACTTACCCAGCTTGTAATGAGAAGCAATGGGTCTTTATTACAGCCCTACAACATAAAATATATCAGTGGTTACTATGTATCTTCTAAACAGTGCCTTTGTAACATGATACATTAACACTATAAGTATCTAATTTCTGTAGTTAGAGAATGCATCAATCAAGTTCTGGAAGTAAAAATATTTTGAAAGTGATTTCCTACAATATTTGCCTTTAAAGATTGGCCTGTCGTGGGCTATCCATTGTATATAGTATGTATTTGTTAAACCTAAATCTATATTAATTAAATGTTTTTAACAGTGGAATTTATTTGAAAATATGTTATCAATGGTGATGTCCAAAATGTCCACCATTAAGCTCTTCCCACTCTCGTGAATGACTGCAAATGGTGGATTTGTGTCATTCGCTCTACACTCTCAAACATTTAAATATATTTTTATGAGTAGTAAACAAAATCGAAACAGACTATTTTAGAACAACTAACAAATTTATTTTAATATATAAAAATATGTTTTATATCTCTATTTTTTATTTCATTGAATCTTTTGCAGGGAAACTGTAACTTTCCCCCTCATTCACATTCTATTACTTATAATCTTTTTAGTCATATTTTCATGTAATTGTTTTGCTTCAAATCACAGTTTGAAATGTTGTGATGACCCATTAAAAATTATTTTATGACCAATGCTGCTAAAAAAAAAGCATATAATGCAACGCAAGACAATAGTTGAGAGATGTACGAATTTTAATTTTTATTTTTTTTATTTGAAAAGATGACAATTTTGAGGAAGAGGAGACAACTGAGAAGGAAGTTTTCAGGTAAGTGTGCTCAAGCAAGTGTCTTTAGTGTTGTTGGATTAAATAAATAATAGCTATAGCTGAAGTCTTACTAGTCAGCTCTGATGGAAAACACTATAAAAGTGGTCTTTTCACTCTGCATTACCTGCAGATTACTGTAATAATAAGCATTCACACAGTCACATGTATTGTAAATAGTTATTATTAAAGACCCTGTCTTTAATATAAACAATTTTGAAATACAAATAAACTATCACTCAAAGGTCCTGTGAATTTATAATAAGTTTTTTAGATGTTAGTATCAATATGTTAGTTTTAAGGATATCTATAAGTTAGACACTTCCACATGGATCAATGATTTTTAGTATTAAAATGAAAATATTGAATTTTTCTCTAGTATTTGACATATCCCGCCCCCCTTCAAGACTCTTTTCATTTGATGCGCTTGAGCTTAATCACCCTGACTGGCAAAGCTATGATAAAAACAAAACACTAATGGCTGTTTTTTTTTTTAAGGAATGGGCTATTATACAGAATGTCTCGCCCTCTCTTCATGTTACCTTTAAGATCACGTCAAACATGAGAGGGGTCTGGCTGCAGACTCGGTGCAGTGCAATCTGAGCTGCATCCAATGCTTTTTAATGTGCTCGCCTAACTCCACCCCTACCTGTCACAGTGACGTCACTCACTCCATTGAGTGCATTGGGTCTGACATTGCATCGCTGAGTGATGCAATCTCAGCCTGCATCATAAAGGCTGCATCCAGATACTATTGTCAAACATTAATTAAAATTTGCACATTACAAAATGCTTCACAGGACCTTTAAAAATGTTGTTTGAAAGGTTTTGTGAATCTGCCCCCTGGATTTTTATCTAGATAAATCTGAATGAATAGATATGCATGTATGAACTAACTTTGGATTAATTCTTGCAGTATTATGTTGACACCTTTCAAAGCGTTTATCAGCCAGTTGATTTATTAATCTTCACAAATAACTTTTTCAGCAGTTTTTCCGGACATTTAATTTGCATATACAAATGTGCTTCATCAGCATTTACTAATAGATCCTTCAATTCTATCTCACACACACACAGACACACACACAAACATTTAAACTCTGCTGTTTTAGGATTTTCAGCTCCTGGCAATGTCAGTAACTTTCAGGTCACTTTAGCCCCGACCGCTTTTGCATTTGAAATGAGAGTTTACAAAATCTAATGATGTGTCGACTCAGAGCAAGAGAGGCTGACACATTTATTTCCTGTTAGGGCATGTAGCTCTGTACAAATGAAGCGTGTACATTTAATGCCTGTTTCACCGCTTAGTAATGACCATGGCTTGCGCATGTGACGCATCCTTTTTTTTGGCCAAAAATACTATGGAAGCGGATTAAGCCACGCGTGTCTGATGGAACTCTTTGGACGCTTGTTAAATTCAGCATTGAATGTGTTGTGCACAGAGCTGATACAGTATAAGCTGCTCTCTATTGCTCACTGGAGTAGAAATGAGAAGGAAAATTAACCATTGTTTTATTCCTCTTCTCACCCATTTTTTTAAAGAAGTTGTTTTCCTGTTTTTCTTCTAAAATACAAAATGAGTAGCCAGTTTGACTTAGTGGTTTTCTAACATAAGTTTGAATTGAGCATAAAGACAGGTTACAAATACAGTAATAATTTATATTTAGGCTTAATTTGCAACCTTATGAAAACTGACTAACACTTAACTAGAAAAAAAACAACATTTTTGTTATTGCTGTTAAAACATGATTTTGTAACATTTGCCACCATAGTGTAATCATCGAATGTGTTGTAAATGCATTGTTAATCAAATTGCAATAAGCTAAAAAAATTGTTACTATTATCTTTTTTGCATGATTAATTATAACGTTTTAAAATAATCATGTTTATGTTTTTAAAAAAAAAACATAAAATCATTATTTTATTAAATTGTTTTTGTATTTATTATATTTTCATTTTGTTTATGGGGTAAAGGGAACATTATATTTTATTTTAGTTATTGATAGTTTCTATTTTCCTGTACGGTTATTGTGCTTTTTTTTTTTATTCCATTTATATACTTTCTATTAAGTTTAATAAACAGGAAAAAAATATTCTTATCTTTGGGAAATACAGACATGTTGGAGGCTGTCCCAAAAATCTTAATATAAAAACAAACAACATAAAAAGCACAATAACATATTTAAAAAGTACTTACTGTATCTTGCGCAAATGTATTTTTTATAAATACATAATACGTATACATGTAGGGCCTGACATTAACACCTGCCAACCCGCCAAGTGCTGGTAGATTTCAGCTGTGGTAGGTTAGACAGCCTCTCACACTAGCCACTTTGGCTGGTTGAAAATGATTTTTAAATGGTAGTTTTCTTAAAAGCAGGATTTGACAATAGGGATGGCCCAATATGCATGCATATCCGAATATAGAATCGAGAAGCAGCACTACAAAAATGATAAAAATCATGAATAAAAATAATTGTATTCGCATGAGCAAAAGAAAGCAGGTGAATACCAAATAAGAGGATGATCACCCGCACTGACATCTGATGAGCTTGACTATTTAAAATGTGTGCGTTCCCATTTTCTTACGTGAAGCAACTGTGAATAGAAACGTAACTAATGTGATCGGTTCTCTTTTAAATACAAGGCAAAAAGTTATGATCATGCACCCACAGTCTTGCTGCTTTCAAGAGCTCCAGATTTGTCTTTTTGTAAGCAGCACCGGTTGCTTTCGCTTTAACCACAAATTTTTTTAACTGATTATAATTTGGCCTAATTAACCATGTGCGTGTGATCAGCCTTTTATTATCGCACACTGGTTTTCACCTGCTTTCTTTTGCTTTAACATTGTTTAATTACCCTTTTTTACAATTACATTGCTTTAACAAGAGATTAACTCCCCATTTTTGTGTAGAACTGGTGATCTGTGAACTTTAGCCAGGACAGATTACTGTGCAAATTTTAGATATAATAATTACTTTTTTCATTTTCAACGAAATGTTTTGTTAAATAAAAAAGTATAGCATACAGCTATATTTTGCTTGTTTTGACGCATTTAAAATGTGTGGCTAAGAAATAATTATTTATGTTTGCTGATCAAACTTTGCTGATCAAGCTTTGCTGATTAAACTTGGTCAGAGATAAATTTGGTAAATTCTTCTTTTTGAGCTCTGAAAAGTCATGTGAAATAAAAACTTAACTGTAATACGACACTATAAAACTAAAACCCATTTGCTCATTATTATTGAGAAAGCCCATACACGACACACAAAAATCTAAATTAAGTAATTTTAAAATGTCAAAGTCATATTTATGCATATAAAATATTTCCCTAACAATAAAATTGTGGCTATTGAAAATGCAGGCCTTTTTAATCGTTTACTATAGATCGGCTGTGAAGCGTGCATTAGTATCATCAATAATTGAGTTTTCTGGTGAAAAAAATATTAAAAAAACAGGACACGGAGGAGTAATTTGGTTAAAAAAAAAAAAAAAAAAAAAAAAAAATTTATATATATATATATATATATATATATATATATATATATATATATATATATATATATATATTTATGTATGTATATATGTATGTATGTATGTATGTATATATATATATTGCATTATAGCTTAAACTTTATAACGCAAAAACAACATTACGTACGCATAATACAGTTTTTTTGGTCGGTAAAATCAGGTGACTGTTGAAATTCTAATTTTTTAACCCAACTGGTTAAATAAATAAATAACCCAATAAAGGGTCAAAAATAAACCAACAAAGCACAAAAGATGTAACCCAACTGGTTATTAATAAATTACTCAATAAATGTTAAAAAAAAAACAATAAAGCACTAAATATTTTTAACTCAACCATTGGGTTAAATTTATAACACAACATTTTTTAAGTGATATCAAAACAGTGGTAACAATGGTTAATCTGCATAATTGGATGTTTAACTACAACAAATAAATGTCAATTCAACAACCCCAAAGTCATTCTTAACAACAATGATAATTAAGGCATGTAGAAAGATAAAAAAAAAAAAAAAGAATATTTTAAAGAAGCTTTTTTTAGGCATAGAAAATATTGGTAACAGTTTACTTGATGGTCTAATTGAGTATTAATAGACTGTTTGCTTAATATCTGTTGATACTGCTCCTTCAACAGACATTTAACAGACTATAAGAAACTTTGCAAGTACATGTTTAACCCCAACCTAACAGACTTATAATCTAATGATAATTAGTTGCAATGTAACTTAAATCAACAAACAGACTATCAATATAAAGTGTAACTAAAATATTCTTTCTTTTTTTCATAAAACTATGTGTTCACTAGAATAGGAATAATATGTGATATTAGCCATTGTTTTATCCCTCTGCTTTCCGGCCCAGTGTTAGCTGTTTCTTGGAGTCAGCGCAGCGGTTTTTATCGGTTGGATTGCTTCACCTTCATTAGCTTCGTGGAGTAAAACTCAAACCCAAGCGAGAATTTTCCCTCACGTTGCATTGGCCTTAAATAAGCCTGATGAGGATGCAGTGATATAGGCCTCACTTACACTAATGTAGGCCTGCAGCTAAAGATGCGCTTGTAAATTGATCCTCCTCATTGGACGTGTATATATTTGCTGAGTGTAAAAGCTTTTTTATTGTTCTGTAGCATCAATTAGTGCATGTGATTAAATCGGACAGCTGAAAGAAAGTCTGTTCATCCAAAATAAAATGAAGTCTCTTCTGCGCAGTAAACACCTGACCTCAGATGACACTTAAATTAGTATTTACCAACAAGGAAGTACTTTGAGAGGCTTAAATAGACTGAAAAAAAGAAATACTTGATTTTCTTTAATACACCAAATGCATAGCTCTTATTTTAATATATGAAAATGTGTGATGTTTTGTGATCTGTTGAGTTTATGTAAACCTGTGATCGGTTAAAATAGTTGGGTTAAAAATACCCCAGCATAGATTATTATAGCACCTTCACAACTATGGACTATTTTTAACCCAATGCATTGGGTTATAAAATTGAACCCAAAGTGTTGGGTTATTTTGATTAAATGTTATTTTTATTATTTTATTTAAATTTATAAATATGGCTGTGTAAATAAATTACATGCAGTTTTCAAAAACATTGAAAATGCTGTATTTCCACTACATTTTAAGTTCCAGACACAGCGTTTTTATCCATTTAATATAAACCGGCTACAAAGTGCACGATTGTATCATCAAAAATTAAGAGTGCGGGTGAAACAGATAGAAAAAACACCACACGGAGAGGTAATTTGATTTAAAAAAAATAATAATAATAATAATAAACTTGAGCTTAAACTTAAACTCAAAGTAAAGTTTGTAGACAAACTTTATGGTGGCTTGAGAAAGCCTAGTCTGAGAGTTTAAAGTAGTTTTAAAGTTTAAATAACTGAAGTAGTTTTTAAGAAGTTTGAAACAGTTGGCATACATAGATAAGTACATATAGGTTGCATGTTTCTAGTATGGATTGGCAAGTTTCTTTCTAGGCGATTGATTGGGGGTTCTGAGTTGTTAAGTGGTTGCTAGTGTGTTCTGAATGGTTGCAAAGGTGTTGCTAAGGTGTTCTGAGTGGTTGTTAGGCGGTTGCAAAGGTGTTTTGACTGGTTAAGGTGTTCTGAGTGGTTGATAGGGTGTTCAGAGTGGTTGCTAAGATGTTGCTAGGTGGTTGCTAGGGTGTTCTGAGTGGTTGCTAAGGCGTTGCTTGGCAGTTGCTAAAGTGTTGCTAGGTGGTTACTAAGGCGTTGCTAGGTGTTTGCTTAGGTGTTGCTTGGTGGTTGCTAAGGCATTCTGAGTGGTTGCTAGGCAGTTGTTAGGGTGATGCTAAGGTTTTCTTAGGTGGTTGCTAAGGTTTTTCTAGGTCGTTGCTGAGGTGTTGCTAGGTGGTTGCTAGGGTGTTCTGATTGGTTGCTGGGCAGTTGCTAAGGCGTTGATAGGTGAATGCTAAGGCATTGCTACAGTAGGTTGTTTCTAGACGGTTACTAAGATGTTATTCTAAGGTGTTGCTAGGCAATTGCCAAGGTGTTCTAGGTTGTTGCTTAGGTGTTGCTAGGTGTTTGCTAGGGTGTTGAGTGGTTGCTAAGGCATTGCTAGGTGGCTGCTAATTTTGTTTCTAGTATGATTAGTACGTTTGTTTGTATGTTTCTTGAATGGATTGGTATGTTGTTAGTATGAATCAGTATATTGCTAGTATGTTTGTATGTCGTTAGTATGTTTCTAGTATTCATCAGTATATTGTTAGCATAAATTGGCATGTTGTTGGTATGTCCAATGTAAAGTCAACGGCAATTTTTACAATGGAAGTCTATGGGACAGTTGTTAGGGTGCCATAAGTGGTTGCTATGGTGTGGCTAGTAAGTTAAAAGATTGGTAGTCTGAGTTAAATGAGTTTAGTCCAATGTTAAAGAGCCCATATTATGGGTTTTTCAAAAAAGCCCTTCCATGTAGTGTGTAACACAGCTCTAAGTGAAGAAGTATCCAGCTAAGGCTTAAATCTGTTAGTGTACAGTGTTTAAAACTGTTGATACATCTATAAAAGAGTCGACTCATAGTGCTTCAAACGAGTCACCTTGATACCGAGTCATTAGGTGTTTCGCCATGACGTACGAATGAAACCAAGTTATTCACGTGCACGCGCAAACCCGGGAGATTTCAAACCTGCGGTCCCGACCTCTGACATAGAAACCCAGACACACACACACAAACACACACACACACAAACATGCCGGTCGATTGAAGTCACACTGCAGATGGATATTATTGAGTCTCTACTCAAAGATGAAACCTCAGCATTATAGCCAAGCAGTTGGAAACTACAGGAAACTTCTGGAAACGGCATGCTACAAAGAATACTTCATCGGCGTTTGTTAAAAGAAGGATACGTAGTTACGTTTAAAACGCGATGCGTGCTGCTTTGTTTACGGAGCTCCGTGGAGGAGGAGTAGTGTGTGTGTCTGTCTGTGTGTGCGTGTGTGTGTGCGCGCTGTCATCCGGAGGTGTACGTGTGTGTGTGCGTGTGTGTGCGTGTGTGTGTGTGCAATATGTGTGTGTGTGTCTTTGAAAAGAGCAGAGTGAGACAAGCTAGGAGATCTCCTCAACTGTTTTTGGAGTTTTTGCTCAATGAAATAGTCGTTTGTATTTTCAAGTCCATAGTCTGTATTTACATTGACCCACTGGCAGCTAAAATCCACGCCTACACTATCGAGCGTGTATGAACTGTGATTACTTTTATATTGCTGATTAGCTGTTGCATTTCACTCTCTCACTGAAGGCAGTCGACCAATCGCAACAGACTGTCATTGGTCCAATCAGCGCAGATTAGCTTCGCGCTAAGGAGGGGTTTGGGAACAAATGAATCACTGGACGATTCATACAGGAGTCGCTGGGATAATTAGATAAAAATAAATGCAGATTATAAGACCATGAAAGTGTTTTTTGACCTTGCATTCATATTAGACTGTTGTTGGAGACCCTTACAACCAGGATATGACCATATTTCATGTATAATATGGGCTCTTTAAGTCAATAGGACTTTTCCAAATGTTCCGGGTCAGTTTTTGGAAAACCGCCAGACGCATCAGTTGGAAGAAATAGCAACCTGAGTCAGACCAGTTTAAAGGTCTGGAGTTAGTTTGGTGTTTGTTGCTTGAAAGGTCTACGAGGAGAAGCATATAGTAATTAGTCTCAGAAGAAGAAGAAGACGAAGGTTTATTTGAACCTAACTGTATGTTGGCTTTCTTAAGCCACCATAATAAACATTACAGTATAATACAAAAACAACATTGTGCACACTTATTAATGGAGTTGTTCTGTGTCACTTAAAATTTGTTGAAATAAAAAAAAATTACCCAACTGGTTAAGTTATTAATAAATAACCCAACAAAGGTTAAAATAACCCAACAAAACATGAAATATTTTTAGCTCAACCATTGGATTAAATAAATAACACAATGTTTGTTTAGTGTATGAAATACATACAGTATTTGATGCTTTAAAACACCTTTATATATTAAAAATCATTTCCTTGGCTAAATCATTTTGTTGTTTTAAATCTCCCTCATCTAATTTTTTATTGTCCCATATTTGTTTTTATATTTTCTAAAAATGAACTGTGTATTTTTTTATATATTTTTTTTGAAACCGTGCACTACAAAAATGCTCCCACCATTTTGTTTTACCCAGTGTATTGAATAAATTTGTATACTATTGAACTCATTTGTGTTTATTTGTTAAATCTAATTCATCTATTACCTCTTGTCACTTTTTTTTCTCTTTATTTTTAATTTAATGACTTGCATCATTGTCTAATCTGACATATCAATTACAAACCCATATCTCTCTTCTGCAGTGCTCTGATTGGGGATGTGGATGGTGTCAATGGAGTGTGTTACCAGGTACTAACTTAAGCCAAACACATTTTGAAATGGTGTTTATTTCCTTAATCTTTATAATGTAGTGAAGTCATTTGACATTCACAAAACAACCATTTTGTTTTTCCCTCCTCAAAGGACAGTGACTCAGACAGTGACGACGATGTCTGTGTGACCATTGGTGACATTAAAACAGGCGCATCTCAGGGCTCGTGAGTGATTCAGTTAGAGGTTTATAACTGTATTAGTAACTGTATGTCACCGTGATTTAGAGATACTGAACATGTCTTAAAGTATTCTTGGTATTATAAATTGCAATAATAATGTGGTTTGATGTGCAGGTCATTTGGTTCCGGGTCCATCAATCTGAACCTAAAATCCTCTGCATCAGGTAATAAAGTGCAGGTAATTAGTCTGTTAAACTGATATTCAGTTCAATTTAGCAAAAACTAGTTTACTACCATGAATAATTTCATTTATTAGTTAGTTTGTTTTGTCATGTAATTATTTTCTCCAATACATTACTTAATACACTGTATGTAGAAGATAGGAAGTGTATGCTCATGATATAAAGTTATGATTGAAGCATATATACATTTTTGAATTTGATAATGTTTGATCCATTTAGTTACTATCTGTTTTGTGAACATCTCTTAGTTGAAATATCATATTCATGACAATACTAAAAATCAAAATAACATTCAGTTTTCAGGAATTCTCTTATTTAGTTAAAATGATGAATAATTGCCACTTTCTGCAAGGTGTATGTAAACTTATGAACAGAGCTGTAGTTTAGGATGCTTTTACAAATCAGTTGGTGACTACTGTACTGTATATCAGTGTTACTCAACTGGTGGGTCGCGACCCAACAGTTGGTCGCAGGAACATTTTCAGTGGGTTGCAGAGTGTGTGGTTAAAAACAACAACAACAAACGTTTAATTTTTAACTTATTGTGCTTATACTAGACTTTTATTTTGAAATGCGCGAGTGACAACCATAGCGTTTGACACGTGAAATTTCATTTAATTATAGCAACAAATACGTCGAAGCACAAGTACGACCCCGAATATGTAAAGTATGGATTTACATATATTGACCACAAAAAAGGCATAAAACCTCAGTGTGTCATATGTAGTGATGTGCTCTCACAAGAGCAAATTTAGAAACCAAACATTTGTCGTTTTTACTTTGTAATATTTCTATAATTTGAGACATTTTCTTAAAGGACAGCAATAAAATATTGTTTATTTGTAAGTCTTGGGGATTTTCTTATGATTTATCTGTCACTACTTGTGTATGTTAACAAATAAATGCAAACTAATTATAGTTCCTAAAATTATATTATAGTTCCTCAAAATTAGGGTCTCGGGTTGATGACCATGTAAAAATGTGGGTCCCATGGCCAAACCAGTTGAGAACCACTGCTTTAGATGTTCACGGTGATATAAGTAATTTCACATTTGTTAGTAAAATAGCGCTTTTATTTCCTTTTATTTTCAGTCTTAACTGTCTTAAATTAGTCTAAATTCATTCTAATCCTAAATATTTGTATGTGTCTGTCAGTGGTTCAGAAACAACAGAAAAAAGTCAATGTTGAACAAACTAAAATAAATGATTTATGTAGGTTTATGTCAAACATTTAAGTACAAAATGTGGTCCTCTCCATCTCTCTCCGCATTGATGCAATTAGTCTGAAAAAACTTTTTAAATTTAGATAAAAAAGATACAAATATGAAGTGCAGCTGCCAACTGACATCCACACTTTGATAAATACTAATTATCTACACCAGGAAGTTAAAATTAACATTAAGAGCAAATAAAAACACACTATAAAAATGCGGAAGCTTGTCTTCAAACGGTTATATACTAATAATAATTATTTCAAATACTTCACCCAAAAAGCTTAATCACCATTTATTTTCACCTTCAAGTGGTTCTAAACCTTTATGAGTTTATTTTACCATTGAACACAAAAAGAGATATTTTGAAGAATGTCAAACTCAGTTCCAAAAGGGCCGCAGCTCTGCACAGTTTAGTTCCAACCCTATTTAAGTTTTGAGTTTTGACACCCCTGCATTATAGGATAGGATCCATATTTTTAAATGGAAGTCAGTGGCCCAGTTCAGTTCCCATCATTCTTTAGAACAGGCATGTCCAAACTCTGTCCTGGAGGGCCATCGTTCTGCAAAGTTTAGTCTCAACCCCAATCAGACACACCTAGGCTATCTAATCAAGCTCTTACTAGGCTTTCTAGAAACATCTTTGCAGGTTTGTTGAGGCAAGTTGGAGCTAAAATCTGCAGGACACCGGCCCTCTAGGACCGAGTTTGGACACCCTTGCTTCAGAATATCTTGATTTGTGTTCATCAGAAAAATAAAACTGGTTTCGAACAAATAGAGAGCGAACAAAGGCGCTGAACAAAGTGATTGGGCATTTGGGAAAAGTGGGTGGGCATAAAAGAGGTGGCGCTTGAGTGGTTTAGGTCCTATTTGGAAGGGTGGATGTTTGTTTAGCGTCAGCATTGGGGATCATGTATCTTCCCCTGCCCCTCTGTTGCATAAGGTCCCACAGGGCTCAGTATTAGGCCCTCTTATTTTTCTCTATCTGCTCCCCCTCGTGTCAATAATTAGAAGGCATGGCTTGTCTTTCCACCTGTATGCTGACAACACCCAGATCTACGTCCCTATTAGAAAAAGTGAGACTATTAGATCACTGCTCCAGTGTCTAGATGACATAAAGTCCTGGATGGCTCTTAATTTTTTAAGCGTCAATGAAAAGAAAATAGAAGTCATGGTTTTTTGGGATACTACTGTGACTTCCACGATTGATTTGAGTGACCTAGCTCAGCACATCAAACCAACCATCACAAATCTTGGGGTTAAACTTGATCCTGACTTAAAGTTGGACAATAAAATAGGGGCAGGGGTCAAAGCAAACGTTTTCCAGCTGAGACAACTGAGGAAAATAAAGCTATTTCTGTCAAGACAACAATTTGAAACTGTAATCCATGCCTTTGTCACTACTTGCCTGGATTACTGTAACTCACATAGGGATAAGTGGGTCTTCTGTGGCCCGTCTACAGCTTGTGCAAAGTGCTGCAGCACGTCTTTAAACAGGGAGTCGTAAGTTTGATCATATCACTCCGATTTTATGCACACTTCACCAGTTACCTGTACAATGTAGAATTCATTTTAAAATTATTTTGTTGGTCTTTAGATCCTTAAATGGTTCTGCCCCACACTTCATATCTGAACTGCTACACCCCTATTTACCGACGTGTGCTCTTAGATCAGCAGATCAGCTGCTTCTTAGAGTCCCAAAAACCAGACGCAAGCTTATAGGTGACCATGTATTTGCGGTGGCTGCCTCCAAGTTATGGAACGCCCTACCTTCTTACATCCGAAAGGCCCCCTCGATATCTCTGTTCAAATCACATCTCAAAACTTACCTTTTCTTCTTGGCCTTTGTCACCTTATCTGATATCTGTTGAACAGTATAAATGTAAGCCTTATGCGTGCAGTTGTTTTACTACTTGAGATGTATACTATGTGTTATGTGTGGTTAGTGTTTTATTTTCATTTTACTGTTGAGCACTTTGGTCTGCTGCCCGGTGGTTGTAGAGTGCTTTATAAGTAAAGATGAATGAATGAATGAATGAATGAATGAATGGATGAAAGAATAAATGAATGAAAGTGAACTATCCATTTAATGGTTAAATATAAAATGTTAACACATCATTGGTAATCTAAATTATTTTGATTAGCACCCATTTGATATCCATTTGTATAGTCCTGTATATACATTATTAAATACCTTCGTGAAGAAAGCATTAATTTTCAACCAGCCTGTCCAGTGCAGCTGAAAATCCTTCAGAAAATTTCTCTGGTATTGGTTTGATCTCAGTGTGTGTGTGAATCTACCCTATAACTTCTTATCTACTCTGAGTCAGGCTCCAAGTCCAGAGGGCTGGATGCTGAAGGCGCTGTCCTGCAGGTGGATGTGGAGTCATTTGAGGAGAAGCCGTGGAGGAAACCAGGTGCGTTTAAAGTGTGTGTGTGTGTGCTAATGTTTCCATAAATTAAAAAGTACCTTTCTCAAGTACACTCTTAAACAGTGCATGTGTATAAACGCAGGTGCGGATCTGTCTGACTACTTTAACTACGGTTTTAATGAGGACTCCTGGAAAGTGTACTGTGACAAACAGAGACGACTGCGCATGAGCCTAGAAATCCTGAGCCTGGGGTCATCCAACAAGATAACGGTACTTTCAGTACATCTAAAATATGCCCTCACTTCTCTCATGACGATTCATGTTGATGTTAATAATGAGTTGCTATAGGGCATTGATTATCTCTGTTGCAAAGCCTAGTGAGCGGCTTTACTGCTTTTATAGCCAACTGTATACAAAGGGAGCTTCTTAAAGGATAGTTCACTCAAAACTGGACGTTTATTCACCCTTCACTTGCCGTTGGTTCTTTTTTCTGTTTAACACAAAAGGAAGACAATTTGAGGAGTGTTAGTAACTGGTTTAGCCATTGCCATCCATTATATGAGCCAAAGTACTGTGGAAATCAATATTTACTAGTTTCCAGCATTCTTCAAATGTTTTATTTTGTGTTTAGCGGAAGAAAGAGGCTCAAACTTAGTTTAGATCAAGTGGATGGTAAGTAAATGAGGACAAAATAGAAAAAAGTGTAAAATATACTGTTAACTGTCATGAAACCTCTTAAGGGAAAGATTAGGAGTGCCCTATATAGGACGCAACTCAATGCAGCACACAAAGTGTGATGTGTTCATGCCCTCCTTTGAAGTTAGAATTTATAATTTGGAAGCTCATAATTGTGAGATTAGGTCTGTTTAGATCATTTTGAAAAAATAAATATCTACAAAATGATGAGTATATTTAATAATACACTTTAGATGTGCTTATGCATTTTTTTAATCATGTTATTCAGCTCAATAAGACTGTACTATAACCTGAATTGTTCCATATGCGGTTTGTTGGACAATGTAAAGTAGTTTTTAATTGCTTTTTCCATTGTGAGTTAAAAAACATGTAATTTCAACAAATTTGTACAGAGGCCGCATCATTTGGACGTGACATTTTGTTCTCATTAATGTCACTAACAGAGAAACTCTGCAACTTTGTGTTTACTTTCATATGTACTCGACTCGTAATTCTCCTTTTACCCACTTGACTTGAAAGCATCCTATAGAGAATACTTGACTTGCTATTGATTTTCGTGGATTGATGTTAGAATCAAGGCTTGGCATTAACACTCGCCAAATGTAGGTGGATTTCAGCAGTGGTGTGTAACACTATAAATCCCGCTGTTTGATTTTTTTTTTATATACTATAACTGCACTCTATAATTTATTTATTTTTGTCTTAGAAAGGTGGATTTTTTAACCCTTTGAAAGAGAATTGTTCCAGCCAGACAAGAAACCAGAATAAAACCTCAACCCAGAGACGCACTGAAGCGTTAGCAGGAATGATTCTGATATTTTTCGCATTTATTATAAATGTAATAATTTATAATGTATGCCATTGACAGTAAAAAATTTTGAGTTTTCTGAAGGAGAAGTCAAAACAAATGGGCACAACTGCCCACAGAAACCTACAGAACAACCATATTTTGGTAAGGTTGTGCTTTTAATTTCTTATAATTAGAAATTATTACTACTAGTTAATCAATACAGACCAAGGGCTGTTTTTCGATTAGTCAGTGAGTTGTTAATATTATGTGGCTTACATTTTAAAAACAGCATGGTCGATTAGGCATGGGACGATAACTGTGTTCAAGGTATACCGCGGTTTGGAAAAGTCATGTATGTGTAAGATTTTTTATTTAAAATATATAAATAAAATATATTGTGTTCAAAGTGGAAAAGGTTGTTGTTTTTTACCCAAACATTTAAACAGAATATATTTTAGAGCAGTAATCACAATACTGTGAAACCGTGATTTTATATCCAAGGCTGTCATACCGTCAGAATCTTATACCGGCCCATGCCTATGGTCAGTGTTGGCTGTTTTTGCTCTATTTTGTTCTTAAAAATGGTCAAACAAGTATAACTGCAGAACAGTTGCATATCTTCAAACAACACAGAGAAGTGTTTTGTTACTGAATGTGTTTCTGTTTTCAAAGATTCATGTAAATCAATGATTCATTTTTAAAAACTGCCACTTGATACATTCTTGAGTTTCGAATCAGACATGTGAATGAATTGGTTGAATTTGGTTTGAACTTCATTTTAACTTTTTTGTGTTTTTCACCATCCACTGTGGCTGGTGTTTTTACAAAGTTTATAGTCACCCAGTTACTTCACTGGCCAAGAGTTATTATGCTCAATCTAAAACATGCTAAAATCTAATTCTTACTTTTTTTAGTTAGTTTCAGTAAATGTAAGACAACACTTCAGTTGTTACCAATTAAATGAATGTGTTGATGTCAAAAAAATTGTATTGGAAAAAATAAAAATCAATAATACATGGTATACCAAACCTTGTTAGCATTGAGTCCAATAAGCTTTAAGGATTATCATACATGGCTTGATTAGGCAAAATATAAAGATCATTTATTATGCATCATGCAGCAGATAGATTAGGAGGCTCTTGAGATTGTAGAGTACTGTGTGCGTGCATATATATTTATTTTCCCTTTCCTTCTTTCTTCATCAGGTGCATCAGAGCTCTCATGATTTGTCAGAATATTCATCCAGGTGCGTATATCAATTCTACTGCAAACATATCAGTATAAATCATACAAATGAATATAGGTATTATACACGATTTTCCTAAAATTATATCAGGGAGAGTAAATTACAATTTATTTTAATTTTAGTTATGTGTTTATATATTTTATATCCATTTAATTATTTTTGTAGAACTGGTTCTCGAAAGTGTTGACAAAAAAACAACGTTTTGGGTGTACAATGGTTTGGTTTGTCCTAGGTCTTTTTTGAGTCTTCCTACTATTTTCCTAGCAGTAAAGGTAAATGTTAGTGTCTTACATCATTACTTATTTTTAGGCACTGGAGTATGATAAATATTTGCAGAATATAAAATAACATTTAAATTGGTTGAACTTGCTTGAAGGTATACCAGTGAAACAAAAAAGGACACTCATGCTTTTTATATTTACAGTGAGAAACTATATCAAAAAAGTATAATGAAGAAGTTGAATTAGTGTACTTGGTTGTGTTTTCAATATTTTTGTACTTAAACCATCACATGCATTAGAGTTGTTTGGTGTAAGGCCAGTGTAGGATACTTAATGGCCGATTATTTACTACTCCTTCCAAGTAACAGCGTCATTATGTGATAATCGCTTTCTGCTGTTGTCCTAAATGCTCCATACGCACGTTATCATGCCTCTTTACACCAGTCTTATTTCAATTTTTTTACTCCCTCATGATTTCTATCAGCTCTTGTTTTCTGTTTTCCCCTGAAGAAAACATCCTGATGGGTGAAACCTTCTGATATTTCACTAGTTCTTCTCAGTAAGACGCAACACAAATATACACACACACACACACACACACACACCACGATGTAGTCCTGGTGGTCCAGACTGCCTTTGGTCCTGGGCAGGAGTTTGCGGGGGTGATTTTTAATCAGCCATTCCTTGAACCTCTCCTCGATCAGTTGAAGGTTACGCTTCGCTCAGGGGGACGTGTATGAACCGAAGCATTCAAGGGTAAAGCAACAGTCCGGCTTTCATTATTACACATACACGCACAGACAGGATGCAGAAGTCAGTCACAGTACACCCGTTTAAACAGAGCATGAGGTGGCATTTTCAGAACCAAACAGGCCTCGACAGAGATTGTCATTCGCTCTTGTTCAGCTCCATTATAATGCAATGGTTTTGCACAAAATAAAGAGTTCACTTGAGTTCATGTGCTTATTCAGGTACAGCTTGACTGAATGAATGGGAAATACATTTATTAAAGTTGATAAGAAATGAACGTTCACCCTATGCTCTAAACATGGGTTATTGACTTTATTGCGAACTATTCATAATTGCCTTACTTAAAAAAAAAAAAATTAAAGGGATAGTTCACCCAAAAATGTAACTTTCCTCATTAATTACATGGTGTGGTAGTGGTTTTCGTTCATCCTTTTTGTTAATATTAAGTTATATTAAGTAATTAAGGGTGTGGCCACATGAGTGAAAGCTAGGTCTCGCCGGTCGCCATCACTTCACCAGCTGATTCCGGCTGATTAGCCGCTGAACTCGGCATATACATCGTATTTTTGTTTTGTTTTGTTTTATGTGGCTTAACACCGACAGTTGCTTTTTGGCATTATTTCTTTCAATTATCAGATGATATGGCATGCTGTGTGCACTTAATTGTGCTCGCACACCAATCACGTGGCCTCCATTTCCCAGGTGAGGGAAATTATCTACTTATATACCATCTCTATAAATGTATTTGTTTTGTTTAAGATCATTTGTCATTTTTTATTTTTCTTTAGAACTATAATGTAGAAGTCCAGAATCTGACAGATTGATTAGCAGTAAGATATAGAAAAGTCATCTGAAACGTTGTCATAGAGTGTTTTGCCTGGATTTCATAAATAGCCTTGCATTTACTAACACAGACTATATTTGAAGGGTTTGGAAGTTTTCCTCCTGTGGAAAAACATCATAAGAACAATGCTAATTGGCTCAATGTATTACAACAGTGTTTTTAAAAGTCTGAACATTTTATTGATATAGTACACAACAATGTGGTCAGAACACAGTTGCAAGTATTAAACATTTCTCCTAAAGAAAAGCCTGTCTAAGCAAAATGCCAGCAGGCGTCTGTAGCTCTGCTTACGCTCCGCCTCATTGCCCTTGTTTGGTTTCCCCCAGTCGGTGCGATGACACTCGAACAAAATGGCGATGAGTGGCCACGTCTACTTGTACCTTCTTTTGCGTTTCTCAGAAACCTATAAGTGAAGTCACGAATTCTACATCAATATCTTTTACGGTCTTTGGTTACAATGCAAAATTACTGTAAATATATGTTTTTAATGTAACTATTTGAAATTACATATCTAAAATAATGCAGTGTGATTATAATTAGAAGTATTGATCATTGTAACCGGAGTAAACAAAAAATATTGTCACTCTTGACAGGAGGATACACATCCTCCTAACAGCAGGTACCATATTACTGCAGAAAGCCCTAAACCAGGGGTGTCAAACTCAATTCCTGGAGGGCCGAAGCCTTGCACAGTTTAGTTCCAACCCTGCTCCAACACACTTACCTGTAGGTTTCAAACAAGCCTGAAGGACTCAATTAGTTTGATCAGGTGTGTTTAATTAGGGTTGGAACTAAACTGTGCAGAGCTGCGGCACTTTTGGAACTGAGTTTGACACCTGTGCCCTAAACCATAGCACCTTTAATTAAAATTTGTGTACCATCCTGGAACCAAAATGCCAGAACTTTTAAGAACAGTATTTTTTAAGTGAACATTTTTTTTATATTCACTGCGAGATTGATTAAAAATATAGAAAACGTGATCAGATCGGACTACTGAGCTAAGGCAGGAGTTTGAATATTTTATGTGTCCTTTTTTACATAAAATCATAAGAGTGTAATGCTTAAACTCACTATTGTTTCTGCTGAAAGTAGGTGAAACTCTTTAAGTGTGTCAGTTTCTTTCTCGATACAGTAGCTGAATTTGTCCTAAACTTCACCCATAGGACAGAAACAATGAACATGACTTATGGAAAGAACATGACCATGTTGCTTAGACTGCACCATGGCCAATGTTACTATGCAGTATTAATGTTTCATTTGATGAATTTTTAGTGACTGAAATAGGTTAGTGCCTAGCTCATTTGTGCATCACTGAAAGGATTTGTAGCCTCGTTTCAGGGGACTTGAAGATTTATGAATGATGATGACTACCGCGGCGCACAAGTGTGCAAATGCTGTGTCTACATGAACTAAAAATATATTTGTGCACATGAGAGGAGATTTCCCAGATCAGCAGGAAAATAGCAGTGACTGAGATTGTGTGTGCGTGCCAAGTGTCTTATAATGCAAAAAAAGACCAGCAATCTTTCATGTTCATTAAATGGCCTGCAGTGTGCAGCACACATTTTATCCTCTTGACTCACACATATGGACTCAACATAATGATCTGACTTTGATTTATGTGTGTGGGTGTGAATGCAGGAAGTCGAGCGGCTTGATCAATGTTATCGGTGGACATTCAGGGACCATCAGTCGAGTGGAAGGCAGAAGACGTCACGGTGCTGATGAAAATAACATCCAGGTGTGTTTGTGCATAAATGATTGACACAAAATATAAACAGTCAGAGAATGTGGTTTTTAAACACCGGCTTTCCACAGGGATGTCTACTAACACCAATTTTATTTTCTATTTATATAAATGAAAAACTTGTGATAGTGACAATTTGACAGTTATAAAATATGCTGATGAAATAGAATTGGTGGCGAAAAGCAGGGATTCTAAACCGGTGGGCCACAGGCCACTAGTGGGCATAAGCGATCTTGCAGGTGGGCCGCAAGATTAACTCTCAATATTATACTATAATTTTTGGATTTCATTATTAATATGCTATGTTACAATAATTGAAGTAATGCGCTGAAAAAAACAACCACTCTGGATGGCATCTGTGACTACACAAGTCTGTTCATTCACAAACTATGCGTGAAGTGGTCTAAATCTCTCTAGTTGTCCAAATTAATATCTTGTAAGTGTTTTATAATGGACGCACACACATGCAGGAGGATCTAGCGAGGCCCAATGGTGTTTCTGTCATAGGATATAAAATAAGCTCGCATATGAGCTTCAGATGTGCTCTGGTGGAGCTGTTCAATGTTTCTGTCTGTGATCTTCCAATAATATGCAGCTGCAAACTCAATATGATTTAACTAGATTTAGAGGGTTTTACTGTATTTTAAATTTATTTGTATATTTTTGAATAGTAGATATTTAATAGTAAATACTCAACAAGTCTAGTTTAAAGCAGAAGCTGCTTTTTTGCAATCTCCCTTTTAATTAATGTAAATAATCACACTTTTTTGTAATTAATCATAGTTAATCACAAAACGTATTTAATGTAATTAATCGTGAGTAATTATTATTATACGCCGAATTTATTACAAAAAAAAAACACAGGCATGTTAGTGCCATTTGAATTTCAGAACAATCAATGCAAATAAAAAACAAAAATGAATTCCATGTAAATACACACACACAAACACTCACACACAAACACACCCAAACACACACACACAGACAGACAGACAGTCAGACAACGTGCGCAGTACAGCGCACCCGCGGTGAGCGAGGGATCCCTTTAGATTCATCAACAAGTATGGCTGTACTTTACAAGCAAGGATTCTGACACAACAGCGTAAAGCAGATGGTTTACAAAAGTTGCGTGTAGTGGGGAAACACGTCAAACTTCTCATGGAAGCAGCTGAAAGGCAGAGAAATAGGCAGTCTTTAGCCCTTTTCACACATACAGACCTTTCCGGTAAATTCGTTCTGGCTATTTTCCGGAAAGAGAAGTTGTAACATTACCGGCAAATTGCCGGAATGCTGTGCTGTGTGAACACAGAAGGAAGATTTCCGGAATAAGCCCGTGCACGTCTAGAACGTGCTGACGTAAGACTTCTGCTTTAGCCAATCACAACATTCAGACGCATTTACGTCCGCGCGGTTTGTGAGAATAAAAGCCTTTGAATATTTTTCCAGACACATTTAGCTGCTAGAAGTTAGTCAGATAACGTTTATATGTTCTTCTTAATGCCAACTGTGCAAATAATCATCGATAAGATGCTTATGATAAGCCGTTGTTTGTTTGCCCATGAAACAGCCTGTGAGCGCCTGCACACGCACATATTATGAACATCTCGACATGCGAAAATGATCCTGTGAAAGTTGTTTACAATATTGATCATCAAAAGAGTTTGTAATTTAGTCAAATGTTTACAAATACAAGCGCAGACGTTTAAAGCTCATTTGTGGTGAATGATGTCAGAATTTACCGGTATTTTGGAATGGATGTGTGAATGCTCTTTTCCGGAAAAATTCCGTAACGTCCTCGCCTGTGTGAACAGCGCTTTTTTGTATATACCGGTAAAGTCGTTCCGTAAATTTTCCGGATATTTACCGGTATCACTGTGTGAAAGGGGCTTTTGACAGCTTGCGGCTTTATCTGGCATTTTCACTGAGTGCATTTACATGGACACCACAACTCCGCTTTTATCATTAAGATAATACTGATTAAGAGTCTAGTCTACCATGTAAGCAGCGATTTTTGATTACCTTAAAGGATCACGCGAGTCTCGAAATGCGGTTCGCAGATGAAAGTGAGGACCATGAGGGAGGGGGTGGATGTAGCAGATGAAAGTGAGGACCGGGGGGTTCGCTCCCTATTCTGCTGCCCAATGCGGCTCTGAACACACGTCGGCCACAACAGGAAATAAAAAAAATTAAAAAAAAGACTCTTCCCATCCACCCCATCAAGACTTGTTGTGTGTTAGCGTTTGTCTGAGTTCAATTATGTATTCCCATTTGGTAACAGACAATAAAACATTTTTTATTAAAAAAACATATGCTGGATAAGTTGGCGGTTCATTCCGCTGTGGTGACCCCAAAGTAATTAAGGGAACTGAGCATAAAAGAAAATGAGTGAATGAATGAATTAAATTGAATTTAGTTGGAAATGTAAAATTAGGGATGCCCAAACTAGGGCCCACGAGTCAAAGTTGGCCCCTGATAACCTTTAATTTGGCCCACCATCCCATCTGGGAAAAGAGAGAATAAGTTTAGAGATTGTCAATTCAGATTTATTGTAACCCTTTGTTTATTTTATTGTTAAAAGCTAACTGAAATTAAATGTTAGGAAATAAATGAGAAAATTAGCCATGATAACTGTAATGTAATATAGTTTGGTATATTTACCTTCAGCCCACAGTTTACAGTGATATTTGGTTTTTGGCCTTTCATATGAAAAATTTTGGGCAGCCCCAAAAAGAGTAAAATAGAGTAGTGATCTCTTATTTCTGTGTGCATTTCAGGTTGTGTCAGAGAAATCCGCGGACACTGAGTTATCTTCCCCAAAGCTGTTGCCCTTCTTTCCTCCAAATATCCCACCTCCACCTTTCCCTCCTCCCTCCATCAGCACCACACCCCCCCTCATACCCCCACCACCACCCGGTAAGTGAGCACACTCATGGTGTCAGCAGAAAAGGGACTGGCTGGTCCTCTGTAATGACGTAGCAGCATGTGAATGCTACGACATTGCAGGTTTTTCTTCAGCTTGTCCTTGAGGAAAACTCTCACTTATAATAGTTCCAAAATTAAACAGAACAAATCAGACAAAGACACAGTCCTGCATATTAACCAGCAAATTAAGTGTAAATCAGATTATTCTCATAACTGTTGGGTCAAACCTGATAATACTGTAATTAAATTAGAGAATTTTGTGTTTTATCTCAAAATATATTCATGTAATGTGTTACGCAATCATTTACCTTTAAAAGTTTGTGATCTGATTTTTTTCAAGAAATGTGATACTTGTATTCAGCAATGATCCGCTAAGCTGTTCAAAAATGACAGTAATTTATTATTAGTGTTATTATTAGTATTATTATTTGGTCAGAAATTACTTAAGCACACTAGAATCCTATAGTAAATGGAAGTGAGGAGTGTACAACACTGAGCATCCACAATGGCACAAGCATATTTTTTAACCTCTTAATTAAGTAAATGATTTAAAAAATAGTTTTTCCCCAAATATTTCATTATTTTTTCTTTAATTATTTATTCTCATTTACTCATCTATCACTTTTTTTTCCAAACCTGTATGAGTTTCTTTCTTTTGCTAAACACAAAGAATAAAAAAGTAAATAAATAATAATAATAAGTAATAATTTACCAATATTTATCGTTTATTGTAACCCTTAACCATCAAATATTTGCACAAAATATAAAAATTTTTGCCACTAAAATGACAGATATAGCTACAATATAAAACAGGATTTGTAGCATTTCTTTTGGAGTTTTGCTGTGAAAATTGTATGTCTTCTTCTTTTTTGACCATAAGATTGGCACGTAAGGCTCAAGGTTGATTTATATCTATGCGTTGAGCACACACGTATGTTCTGACGCAGCCTTTATGCATTTGCTTATCCCTCCTCGTGGCAGACGCTGACTCTGACGCGCACCTGTCAAAAAATGTAACTACACTTTGCGATGATGCGTAGCGCTAGCTCGGTGATTGGTGGGTTTGGCGGCGTTGATGAGTCTGGGCGGAGTCTGTTGGAGCAAGGGTTTAAAAGTGTCAAGTCCTGTGGAGAATAGGTGAACTGGTAATTTAAATTGGCCTTGGTGAATGGGCTAGTGTGTGGGCGTTTCCCAGCACTGATTATTGTACTCTCATTGTTAATACCGAGTTCAGACTGCATGATTTTCAAAGTAGACATGTCACAGATGTTTTCACACTGCATGACTATGTGGTCTAGTGTTTTGTCGCTGCTTTGTTTACACTGCAAGATGGATGCAAGCAAGAATCGCAGACAACTTCTTCCAAACTACGTCTCACAACCAAAAACGTGTAATATATCTTTTGTTATTACCTACATAATGAGAAAGAAGCTTTAATGGGGTAGAAAATGTACATATTTGCTCACCTGGGTTTGAAGGGAATTAGCAATTTCTCCTTAACTTTTTTCTTTTTCAACCTGGTTGGGATATTGCTCAGATGACATGTCAGACACAGTGTTCCTGCCAAATTTCCACTAGTTTTTCCTCTATTTCTTGGGTCTAAATAGACTGAAAATGAGCGCTTTTAACTTCTCCCCATCCTCCCGCTGGCCTGCAGATACCCATACTAATGGATGCTGCTCTCTCATTGGCTGCAGGTGATCGCCGATCTTATTTTTAATCAGAAACATTTCACACTGCATGATTTGAATTGCCGACAGCTCTATATATTTAGTGTGCCAAATATCTCAGGGGCATCGGCGACTCATCTGCGATTCTCTTAGATCGTGTCTTTGATAGTTCACATTGTGATATTGTTATTCGCGTGAACGAGCACCGATTTGCCTGTGATTTCAGGCATTTGTCTGCAATTTCTTAAAACCTGTCGGCGAGTCAAAATCGGGGCTCAAATCATGCAGTCTGAACATGGCATAAGTTGCAGCAGGACTGGAATCTACTGTCTAAAATATATTTAGTAATTGACAGTTTATTTTGCTGTGGTGACCCCTGGTAAAAGCAGGAATAAGCCAATGGAAAGTGAGTGAGTGAGTGAGGAACCACAATAACTATTGATCTCTTTAGTTTATAAAGTTTATAATAAATATTTTCTTTAGTTTATAAAGAAAACACCAAGAGAAACAAAGAGAGAAACTTAAATGTTTACCTCTTGAATCTGTAAATCCCCACCATATCATATTTGATACACAAAGCACACAACATTATCAAAAAAAAAACAAAATTTGTAGAAAATATTTTCACCAATAGCATTACAATAATCATAATAAAAGTTGTGCAATCAGCCTAGTAGGCCTAATGCATTGCAATGTTTTACTTTTTTCTCCACATCTAAAATTATCGAGCTTTCATTATAAAATTAACAAAGACAAGTCATTCTAAAGACATATTAGTGGGCGATTTAGAGCAATAATATATATTTTACTTAATTTTAGTAGTCTGACATACTATTAAGTAAATACAAATTTTTTCCCCATTCAATTTTTATTCTTCATATAAGCTAAAGTTCACAGAATTTCTATAACTGCAAATTTTTTTAATTTGTAAATGTAAAACTCTGCTGCTTTTTGTTCTGTATTTTTACTATTAATCAGATGGGCCATTAAACGTCTCATTTGTTAAGTAGAGAAAGAGAGAGAGAGATAGACTTATGACAACAGATGCATATACTGTATGCAATGTATATAGAAAATTAGCTATAAAACACGCATGGTAAACTGGCTTTGTCTGAATGCCCATTGCAATAATGTCACATGACATCACACAATAGATAAAAAGTGCTGCATCGCACATTGGATGAGAACTTTCTATATGTAAACACTATAATGTTCTTGTGTATATTATTATTTTTTGTTTCTGGAGGTTCTGATTAACTTGGACAGCCAGTTTTTGGGAGGGACTAGAATAAATGTTCTTATTTGCATTTTTATAAGTTATATTCTTATAAGTTATTTACACTATGTTTCAGAAAATGTTAATTTGTTTTACTCCAATTAAAATAACCTAAATTATAGCTAAACTGTGACCTCGAAATTTAGAGTATTTTTGTTCTGTATTTTTGATCTCACTCTTCTACTCATTAAAGTTGTTTGCAAATTCTGTTGCTGGGTTTTTTGAGGACCATGTTTCAGAAAGATGCCTCAAAATGCTGGCTAGGCTGAGGTTCAAGGGTAAATTTCATGTGCCAGATGAGCTGCAGCAGCTGTGCGTGTTTGATTTGACACTGACTAAATATAAAGCGTGCATGTGTCTCTGTAGGAGTCTGACAACACATGCGCTTGAGCTGGTGCGTCTGCATCCAGGTGTGTGTAATTCTCTCCAGGTTTCCCTCTGCAGGACAGGCTTGCTGGCTGTCAGGTCCACCAACTTCCTGCTCATATGCTTCTCCAACAAACTTTCAACAGGAAGTCTATAGTTGAGCATCTCCTCTTCTGCTTCAAAGCCCCATCAGTAATCGCCTCCTGCCAAATCCTGCCAGCCCTCATCAGACCCCTCACTGATACACTCACCCATCATCCTCTTTTTTGGATCCACTGATCCTTTTTAATACAGTCAAAATATCAGACTTCCTGGTCAGGCCTTGCCTTTGAAGTTCAGCCTTTTATGAGCCGTTTTTATTTAATGGTTGAAGCCCACCTCCCCATCCTGATGTTACAGGCCTCACTTTCTGATTCGCTCCCCCTGCGGATATCGCTGTCCCGTTCCAGCCACGCTGTTCCTTTTGTGTTGCTAATGTGCTGCGTGAGACTAAAAATAGCTCAGAGCGGGAAGAAAGAAAAAGTGCCATGCCAGCAGAATCGTGGCACTGGAAATGTGCTGAATGACCCAGCTGTGCTGAAAGAGACAGAGGGGAAAAAGAGGGAGAGAGCCAGTTGTTAGGAGAGGAATGTTTTGATTAAATGGAGGGCTGAGGGACTTTTTTTTCCAGAGTGTAATTTTAATAATGGATTTGTTAGGAGATGATTTGTACTTTACATTTTTGTACTGATAATCCAAATATTTTTGTACGAAGAGAGTCCAGTGATCCGCTTTGATTCTTTTAGAAGACATTAATGGCTTTAAATGTTCATTAAGTACCTTTTAAGTGCTTTTATCACATACTACATCTTTTCAAAAAAATGTCCCAGTTGCCCAAAACTAAAATAATATTTAACTTCAGTGAATGAAAATCTAGAACGATGAAAGTCAAGAAAACTTTTCAACTCCATCACACAAACATTTTGTTACATTTATTCGTTTATAAATTCATTTTAGTGAATTTATATAACAAATCAATATAAAATGGTAATAAAGTTAACGTCGTGCGGTGCTGTGAAAAGGGGCGGGAATAAACAAGATTAGTAGGCATTAAATAAGCGAGCGATTGCTCCATGTTTTAAAATTCTGTCCAGAGAGGTCATGTTTTGATCCTCGGTTGGTCAAGTGATGCGATTTCGCAGGTCAGAGTTCACCAAACTTGAAGTTTGCACCGCAGCAACCTGCGAAAATGACCCTCAGGGTCAGGGGCAGGGGTGTCCAAACTCAGTCCTGGAGGGCCGGCATCTTGCATATTTTAGTTCCAACCCAAATTAAACACACCTGAACCTGCTAATCAAGCTCTTTTCAGGTATGCTAGAAACTTCCAGCGAGGTGTGCTGAAGGAAGTTGGAGCTAAACTATGCAGGACACCGGCCCTCCAGCACCGAGTTTGGACACCCCTAGAGTTTTTTTTAGTGTTGTCATCTTCATGGATTGATTGATACTACAAGTTTTACAGCCATTAAATATTACTTATTTACTTTTCACCCATGCTGTAGAAACGCTACATTGACAGTTTATACATTTTATACATTGACATTATTGATCATGCAATCGTTTAAATATTATTATTATTATTATTATTATTATTATTATTATTATTATTATTATGCAAACAAATATATTTGATTTTATTTAAATTGATATATATTTAATACATTCCAGTCCTGTTTTTTTTTTTTTTTTTTGGACTGATGATTGTACACAACAAATGCATTGTACTAAATTATTTAATTAAATGTGAGTGCATCATAGTTAAGGCAATGTTTTATTTTAATATTTTAAAATATAATTTATTTCTGAGATGACAGAGCTGATTTTTCAGTAGCCATTACTCCAGTTCTCAGTGTTGCGTGATCCTTTAGAATTTATTCTAATATATGCAGAGTGAAAATTGCAAAATTGTATTTTTTAAAAATTATTATGATGAATATAAAGTTAAGGGCAACCATTTTAATGTCTCTGTTGACCAGTTAAATGCAGTTATCTTGCGGAATAAAAGTATTTATTTTTAAATTTGTAAACAGCAACTTTTAATTGGAAATGTACATAAGTATCTATAAATATATACTCTCTATTTAACTTGGAGCAAGTGTTTCAATTTCAAACTAGGCTCATTCTGAACACGTAGCCCTATAGAAATTTCTGAAGATCGCAAAATATGCCCCAGGAACTATGTTTTTTGCTGTTTTTGTTTTCGCAAATATACCAGAGGCCACTGTGTACGTATTTGAGATCTAAAATTTCTCTCGCAAGTGAAATTTGTGCCTGCTCTTCTAGCTTAAATCCACCAGAGGCCGCTGTCGACTGACTGTTTGACTGACTGACAAACTGAACGATTACTCCTACCCACTTCCCTAAATCCAGTCGATAATATTTTAAAAAGCACAGATTGACCAACCCACCCTTTCCCTAAATCCAACTGCAGTGTTTTAGAAAAAAAAATCCAGAAAAAGAAAAGCCCCCTGATTTTACCACATTCTCAGATTTTACAACATTCTCACTGTCATTTACTTGATTATTTTGTTTTTTGGGTTTTGTTTTCGTCTTCACTTGACTCAAACCCCATTGTCACAGTCAACTCCTCTCTGCGTCTCAAGTTAGCCGACGTACATGGCGAGCTAACTGGACAAACTGGTAACAGCGGGAAAGCTGTCCATACGGAGGTACTGTAAGTGATCGGCTGCTAGCGCGGAAAGGAACAGCATCATACTGCCCTGTAGCTTTCGTCTTAAAGACGAAATGCAGTCATACGTATTTCTGGCTACATAATTTGCGATCTCCAGAAATGTATAGGGCTACAATTTCAGAATAAGCCTATGTTGTTTAATTTCCGCTAGATCTATTATCTACTAAGGTCTATGACCTTACAAATGGTTTGAGCCCTACCCTAGTATAATAACCCTAGTATCCATAGTCAGACTGAGTAAAACGTAGCAGTAGGTTTGGGCATAGTTCACAAAGTACATATTTTCCTATTGGACTCTGAAGTGTCAAGGACAACACAGATCATTTGCAAGGCTCTTTGTGAGTAAATGCATGTGTTGAAGGAGACGCTGTGTTTCTGCCTCGCTCTGTGTTAACTAGAGCTACGTGATTTCTGTGTTCCTCAAATGTCATTTTTGTTGTTGTTGAAAACTGTCTTTTAGAGCTGGCTCCCATCAGGGGTCTGCAGAAAAACAAAAGGGGGATGGTGCCCAGATGTCCACGAATGTTTGTGAGTCTGTGGCTGAGTGTGATCAAAGCAGATAAGTGTGTTGCAGCCATGTGAGGGAGAATGTTTTTTGGGGGTACTGCGAAGGCCCATTTGTTTGACGCACACATTGAAAGGAGGGCGGGGCGTCACGGTTAGCAGGGGCAGTAAAAGTTGCAGGCCGCTGCGTTTGTTGAATTCTGTCTGAATGTGTCATAAACAATGTTGAGTCATTTAAGTCGAGACATCTGGACATACACTCGCATAGATGGAAATCTACTGAGGCTCAAAAGAAAAATGTGCCCCTATACCAACATTTTTACAAAACTCCAAAAACATACCAGTATGTTACTCCTCTGGTTCTACTTACCTCACTATGAGCCTGATTCAAACCAGCATTTCTGGCATGGGATGCAGGTGTCACAACATCACAGTCTCTTCTGTGGGCTGCTAGTGTACCACTTCAGACCATGGAAGTACACCCCTTAATATACAGCACCAATGTAAGCCTTCTACCTGCATTTGTTGTACTCTGAGTGGGATTTGAACCAGACTGGAACCGTCATTCTCTTGTGTGCCTCATGAGGTCAGGGGATGTTCCTCCATTACACTCCCCTTCCTAAAGATCACTCTCATTCACTCTTCCGGGTCACGGCACCAGAAAACTGCTCTACTTGCTCAGCTATGTGGGGACATGGGAGTAAAGATGTGCAAGATTGTGTCTATGCACTTTTTGAGCCTGAAGAAGTTATATTAATGCATATAAATCCAAGTCCGATTACTCAGGGCTCGAAATGAACATTTTTACTTGGTAGCAACAGTGCTCCCAACTTTAAATATTTAGGATCACCAGAAAAAAAATTAGGAGCATCAGAAAGAATGTAGGAGCACCAAAAAAATGAATGAGTACAGCTGCAAATTGTATATTAAGAGATTTATTGTATTTGAAAACAACATAAATTAGGATTAAACCAGAAACAAATATCTAACTAATGCTGTGATGACTTAATAATTGTGCAATATTTCCAAAATGAATGTCCAATAATTATTAAATATTAATGATGATGGCGATGACAATAATACTAACAATGAATAACTTTTCTCATTATCATGCTGCCTTGAATGTGCTTGAGTGCGAGTTATCTGCTATAAAAAGTCCTACTGTTACTTTATTAAAAATAAATGTGTGGCATCAAACACAAATGAAGTATTGCAGTAAGAAATATTTATTTTGTACTGTTTTTATATGCATGTCAATTTAATAAATACTTCTTCTGCTACAAAACAAACGGAAGATTATAATAAATGATTCAATTCAAGGCTGAAAGCTACAAAGCAGTCATCAGTAATTAAATAGAAAAATAATATTAATGTCAAGAAAGAACGGACAAAAGAAAGGAAGAAAAGTCTCACTTTTAAAAGTTTTGATTTCGGTATGTGTCATTTTAATACTCAGTCTCGTTATGCGCTGATTTTCATTTTTCTGTGTATGTGGAAAGCAGGCGAGTCAGCTGGCCCAATATATGAGCAGGCAGAGCAGGATTCTCCTGATGACCACTGGTGCAATACTGTTCTTTGTTATGAGCCTCATCAGTTTAAACTTAGTAAAGGCAAGCTTCTTTGGGGATGGTGTGTACAGTGTTAGATTATACATTTAGCGGAGATTTGCGCTGAGCACGCAGTGAATGCAACGAGATTCGGTGCACTTTTCACTCTTCAGCCATTTGCATTACCGTGGTCACAAAAGCTCCCTGTAAACTGACAGCGGAAAGTCTTGAGTGGAACAGCTAAGATGAACCAATATAGCAGCAAGGAAGACCGATTTAGCATGTTTTTAGAAAAAAAATCAAAACAGGTCGCACTACAACCATTATATGCAGTCCCACAAATGCTTATATTATGAGGTCGAATAGATTCAATTTCAGGCGCATATGCGACCAAAATGTTCGCAATTTCGAGCCCTGTTACTGATGTAAACCCTCTGGTTCTTTTAGCAAAATTTAAAGCAGCACCTTTGGCTTACAAATCAGATGCTATAGTAATGCTTAAGACCACAGCCTGGTGGCTATGGAAGTGATATGTTTTAAAATTTGCTTTATATTTATTCAAGGTAAACAAGGGAAATGACATGGTTGCTTGAGCAAACTCTTTTTTTTTATTGGAATTGTTTTGTCATTAACACTTACGATGTGTGCAATAAAGCTTAAACCCTTTAGCACTATTGTTTTCTAAACGTCTTTTATTAACTAAGGCCCTGTTTGCAATAATACGTTTTAGTTTTAAAACGCCGATTTAGAATGAAAACGATTCACATCTAAACTAGCATTTCATCTCGCATTTCTGAAAAGATCTCTGTCCACACTATACCCCTGAAAAACGCACATCACGTGACCACACACACACTATGGCATGTGCTGCAGCGTGAGCGTACGTCTGAGCTCCAGGCAGTCAGTGGGTCCTTTGAGCACACCTCCGCAGATGAGAGCAGTGCACGTCGGATAATTCATCAAGGGTCTACTGCGGTATCTCCTCACTATACTTGTTAAACGTGATATTTAATTTATTATAATTTATCGACTTTTGGTCTTTTGAATCTATTACTTGTTCTCAGGTAGCGTGATTTAGATGAGCGCAAAGATAAGTTAATATATCAATTTATGTAACAACGTTCATTGATTCTAGACATTTGATTGATTGCTTGCCTTTATTTCCCATATTTCATAAACTTATTGCAAGTTATACTATTATAATGGCCATTATTGATTATTGAAGCTGATGTCCAGTAAAAGAGATAGGGTGTATTTCATATTTTTCAATGAAAGTGAAAGTAGGCAGTTATGTTATAGGCTCCATTTTGTTATAAATATGCATACAGTGAAAATGACAGTCATATAAATAAGTAGCTACATGAGGTGTCTGTTTTCCATATCAAACTTGTGAAGTCTGAACTTTCAAGGAAAGGATGCAAGACTTAATATTGAGAAAAATCCCCAAACAGACAGGCGAATGTCTGCAGCCACTCTATTTTCAGATGTCTCTGTTTTCACCATCCACAAAGACACGGAGCAGTAGCGTTTTAAAATCAAAACGGCCTCTAAGGGGTTTCCAAAACGCTCTGTTTTCAGGACTCAAAAACTCAGGGGTAGTGTGGACGGAAGGCGTAACCATAGCAAAACGTATGCACTTCAAAACTAAAACGTATTAGTGTAAACGCGGCCTAACTCTAATCATACTTTTAAACTACTGCCAAATGTGCAAAAAGCAAGCATGGTTTTTCACAAAATCTATTATAGTTTTCCATATTTAAAAATGTCAGTAGCCTTATATTTATATTACAATGTTTATTCTTTGTTTTGTGTTTAGAGTTTGTATTTCACCATACCATTAATTACCTAATATCTGTTTATATCTACTGTCTTAGGTTTCCCATTACCTCCAGGGGCCCTTCCACCTATGATACCAACATTAGATAGGTAAGTGTTTATTTTGCTGTCTCTCCCTTGTTTTCTGATTGATGGTAAGCATAATATCAAGGTTTGTGTATGATTTATGGATTATGTATATGTGTTTAGGTTGATGTCATATAAATACTGGAGATACAAACAGAGGAGAGGTAGCAGACAGAGAAAGGAAGAGCGTTGCAGGTCACAGCACAGGCAAAAGAGGGAGAAAAGGAAAGACAGAGAGAGAAAGAGTGAGATTAAGAGGTAGAGCTTGTGAAAAAAAGAATTGGCAATGTTGAATTACTGCTGAACATATCTTTTTTTCATTAACCAAGTATTTTTTTTGCCAGTTAATATTAGGATAAATGATAGGGAGTCCATTTATATATTTATATGCTAATTTAGTGATTTGTCTTAAAGAAAAATCCCAAAATAACTCATGTTGACTTTTCAGTTTTATTTTTGTTGTTGATCTTAGTCAGCAAAATAAATGCTGCTAACTGTGGATACAATATTTTTCAGGCAAACTGTAATTGTCACAACAAAAAGAAAAAAAAACATAAATCTGATGACTAAAGAGACCCACGAGACCGAAACAATAAAGTTAAAAAAGTTTATTATGAGACTCGAGCATTGAATGTCCCTCATGACAGAGATGATTGACTCTTCCTAAACCTGTGATTGGCAGCCGTCATAGAGTTTATGGGACAGTAAAACTAGGCTGCAGCTACAAAAGCCCTCTTTTTTTCCCTTTTGCCTCTGTCAGAGTCGTTACTTCTGTCTCTGTTCCTGCCTGCAGTATGTAGGGCAGCTCATCAAAGTTTCACCCCAGACTTAGAAGAAGAGAAATCAAGACAAAAGCACTAAACTCCCTTCTGCTTCAGCTAATCCACTGTGACTGTCTTTCTTCCATACACACAGAATTCCTTATTCAGTTTGATTCCGCTCTTTCAGCCTGGGCTCTGAAGCTATCAAATGTGTTTAAGGTGCTTAAGTGTGTGTGTGTGTATCTGTCTCTTTGTGCATGCGCTTATTTGCATCCCAGCCTTCTGACGCCAGAATTTATCTTCATAGGACTAAAATACGGGTAAAACCCAGTCAAACGCCAAATAAGGCAGAGAGAGACAGAGGCAGGGTGGCCATGTTTGTGCCTTTGGCCTCATGTTTACAGGCATCCAAAACTCCCCATCCATCTAAGCCTTATACTCTTCCTCCCTTTCTCCCCAAGACAAACAGCCAAGTTTGGCCTGTCTATGTTCCCCCAAATTACGTTATTTCTAGATTCACTCCCACTCAGTTTGAGAGGCAGCATCATCATCTGCAGAACATTTGTGTGGTTCACTGCCAGTTTTGTTAAAATATCTGGTGAATCACAGTTTTTTTTTCAGAATAGGATTACTATTATAAAGTTTTAGAATTTTAAATAAAAAAGGCTTTTAAAAGTTTTCTCTTTTTATTGCATTTTGGCTTTAGGACAAGTTTGATGAAAGGTTTTGAGCCACTTCAAATGTTGGCTTTATAACATGTTTTAAAATAGAGTGATTTTCCAGCATTATTACTCCAGTCTCTAGTGTTAATGATTCTGCAGAAATCATTATAATAAGATGACTGCTGGTGGTGAGGCAGTGGCGCAGTATGTAGTGCTGTCGCCTCACAGCAAGAAGGGTGCTGGGTCACTGGTTCGAACCTCGGCTCAGTTGGCGTTTCTGTATGGAGTTTGCATGTTCTCCCTGTCTTCGCATGGGTTTCCTCCAGGTGCTCTGGTTTCCCCCACAGTCCAAAGACATGTGGTACAGGTGAATTGGGTAGGCTAAATTGTCCATAGTGTATGAGTGTGTGTGTGTGGATGTTTCCCAGAGATGGGTTGCGGCTGAAAGGGCATCCACTGCGTAAAAACTTGCTGGATAAGTTGGCGGTTCATTCCGCTGTTCAAAGTTCTGAGCTCACAAAGTTTGGTCCAATGTTAGGCCATTGAGACTTTTCGGAATTTTCCAGGTCAGTTTTCGGAAATTGCAAGTCGGATCAGTTAGAAAAGATATAGCAAGTCAGACCAGTTTGAAGGTTTGGTGTTAGTTTGATGGTTGTAGTATGAACGGTCTAGGAGGAGAAGCATATAGAAATTATTCTCAGAAGAAGTTTATGTAGTATAACAGTATGTTGGCTTTCTCAAGCCACCATAATGACAAAAACACTGCATCGGCAAATACATATTTTAGTTAAGCTGCATAGTTAAAAGAACTGATGCAAAGTTTTTGTTTTGTGTTATGCAATATGCTGTTTTCAGTTTTGTTTTTGTTCAGTTTATTTCTACTTGTCTGTATTAATTGTATCCCTTTTCACCCTTTTCTGACCTAACTCCCTCCCATTTTTTTCATTTCCTGATCCTCCAGTTAGCTTTTTTCCACCCTTTCTTCTTTTTTCTGTTGTTTAAAGAATGGTTCTTCTCAAGTCTCTGTCTCTCTGCCAAGTCCAAACATCCTTAAAGGAGTTTCCGTTCATCTGAACCCTGCCAACCAACGACTGTGTAATTCATGAATCACTTCCTTTCGTACCAACACTCCAAAAAAGCTCACTTTTCTCCTTGTTCTCCCTCTTTTTCTCTCCTCCCCATCACATGCTTACTCATTTTTCACACATAAACATCACACGCTGGGAGTATATATAGCAAATATAAAGGGTCCTTATACAAAGCCCTGAGGGACACCCCTAAAATAGCCCGTAATGCTCTCTGGGCGATCGTTTCAAAAGCACAGCACCTTTCCTTCCACTATAAATGTATCTTGCCCTGGCTCTCTAGTCATCAAAAAGAACTCCCTTGTTTGTTTTCCACAACATTTTTAGACAACCATTTTATATTACAGGCAGATTGCTTTCTGTGTTGAATTTGATTAGATGTCTTGAGACTTGGCATACAAATCCAATATAGTTTTATTACTCGTCAGCAATCCCTCATCGCATGTTGCCGAATATCAATAATAATTGTTTTGTTGATACATTAACTTACCAAAGCTATGTGGAGCAGCCAGTTGGACGGCCTGTGTCTTTCCGCTGCCATTAGTTTGAGGTCATTAGGGTCAAATTCTGCAGTGATTAGCTGTCTTAATGAGCCAGGCGCTAATTAAAGCTTACCTCTGGGGTGAGATGAGACTGTAACTGCCAGATCATCTAACATTGATTATCATGAATTCCCCTTCCCAGCCCCCATTTCGTCTGTTCCTATGCGTAGAAAGCAAGAAGAAATAAATTAGACATACTGGACATGTACTATAGCTGGCTGAGTTTAAAAAGGATTTGTAAGTGAGAGCAGAGAGGAAGTGGGATGGATGAAGGGGGAGATACAAAGGGAAACCAGAACAGCAGCATCTTTTCCAGAGTTATTAATAGAACCTAAGCACTCTTAACCAGCACCTGACCACAAGGAGTCCTCTTGGATGCGATTTCTCTTACACACATATACTCGATGCCCTGAATGCAGGGCGGGCAGCCAGGGTTTATGGATCGGGAATGGCTTGTTTGCCTGAGCTGTATCTGCTGATACTCGCACACAGTTATACACTATTGGCACGTTACTGGGCGCATGCTGCACTTTGAGTTAATGCCAGTAACATCAAACAGCGAGGAAATTGAGCTCTGAAACGGAGGAAATTCTTTTGATCATTGAGAAAAGTTTGGTCTGTTGTGTTGGTATGCTTTATTTATTCCTTTCTCTTTGTTGTTTGGTAAAGGTAATGGGGTTTGTTGCTCTGAGTGCTGTGAAATTATTCTTCCGTCTTAACTTAATTTCTTTTTTTAGCAATGTTTGGGCAAAGTCCATCATCTTGCAATTTTTTTGTGAAAGAGAAAGACTAAAAAAATCATAGTATTTTTTAATTTTTTTATTTTTACACAGAAATTAAAATGAAGTCATTGTTTATAACTCAACTATGTTCTTTTATTAACATATGAACTTCTTTCTTTTTCACCCAAACTTTAACCCAAACTTTTTACCCAAACTTTTCGATTCTAGCTGAAAAATCAAATCCTTGGAGACATCCAATAGATTAATAGGTACCGAAAAAGTCCACAGAGGAGTGTTGGATCACTAGAATGGGGAAGTCTTAGAGTAAAATAAGAAAATATGATACACCTGTGTTTTAAAATATGAAAAAACTGTATCTGATTTGGCAGTTAAAAGATTTAACTTGGGTCATAGCCATACTGGTAGATCTGTCTCTGTTTTACAGCAGCGTAATTACAATAAGCGAGATACGAGACGTGACTCGTCACAGATAATTTGTTGCGGATGTTAAAATTCCTGCCGTCTGCCTAAGATCAAGACCTTTTATTACGTTTGGTTAGCTAAAGTGATCTACTCCCAGGACGGGGGTAGAAATCAGGGTCAGTGCGAGAAGTTGAAATTGGGGGGCACGTAATTAGAGCTGTAAAGCTTAACTTTTCGAAGGGGGTTGATTACCAGAATGGGGAGGTCCCGCAGAGTATAATGAGAAAATATGATACACCGTTGTTTTGGAATGTGAAAAAACTGTCTTTACGCTGTTTTCATCTGTTTTTAAATTATTTGTTTCTATTTTATTTATACTTGTCTCTTTCATTCCTGTTTATGTAAAGCACTTTGAATTGCCACTGTTTATGAAACGTGCTATATAAACTTGTCTTGCCTTTAAAAAAATAAAAATAAATAAAATAAATAAATAAATATATATATATATATATATATATATATATATATATATATATATATATATATATATATGTATATATATATGTATATATATGTATAATTATCCTGCTCAATGCAATAAAATGTTCTCTCCAATGGTTCCAAGCCTTTCTTTCTACTGTTAAACACAATGCAATATAAACTTACCGGCAACTTTATTAGGTACACCTTACTACTACTAGGACCCCTATTTGCCTTTAGAACTGCCTTAATCCTTCGTGGCATTGATTCAGCAAGGTACTGGAAATAGTCCTCAGAGATTTTGGTCCATATTGACATGATAACATCACAAAGTTTCTCTATTGGATTAAGTTCTGATGACTGTGGAGGCCATTTGATTACAGTGAACTCATTGTTATGTTCAAGAAACCAGTCTGAGATGATTCACGCTTTATAACATGGTGCGTTATCCTGCTAGAAGTAGCCATCAGAGATGTTTTCTGTATGCCTTGGTTTTAACAAGTGGTAACTTAAGTTACTGTTGCCTTTCTATCAGCTCGAATCAGTCTGGCAGTGCTCCTCTGACCTCTGTCATCAACAAGACATTTGCGCCTACAGAACAGCCGCTCACTGGATGACTTTTCTTTTTTTTCGGACCATTCTCTGTAATCCTTTACCAAACCCCAGTAGATCAGCAGTTTTGGAAATACTCAGATGAGCTCGTCTGACACCAACAACCATGCCACCATCAAAGTCGCCTTTCTTTACCATTCTGATGCTCGGTTTAAACTACAGCAGATCATCTTGACCATGTCTACATGCCTACTGTATATGCATTGAGTTTCTGCCATGTGATTGGCTAATTAGAAATTTGCATTAATAAGCAGTTGGACAGGTGTATCTAATAAAGTGGTTGTGTTTTAAAGAATGTTGGAAACTGGTATGGTAGCCATTGATGTCCATAGACATTAAATATCTATGTTTGTGTTTAACAGAAGAAAGATCCTAGGTTTGGAACAAATTAAGTAAATGACGACAGAAGAAAAAAAAACATTTTCAGTTTACTGTTCTTTTAAACAAAAAACTTAAATAAGAATAATGCTAAATGAACTAAACTGTTGACACAGTCTTTCTCATTACAGCAGTGGACGTTTGGCGGGCGGTTATGATCGGCGTTCAGCTCCTCCTTTCCCCTTCCCTACAGGTATGACTAGTAAAATCCTATGAAAGATATGCACTTAACCTGTAATCATGAGTACATTTTTGTAATAAGTACATTTTGTTGAATGATTGTTCTAAAGAGGCTCATCGCCTTTGATTCTGTGCCAGTTATAACCAAATAATCATAATTTTTATGTAGTCATATGATTCAAAGGTTAGATCCTGACAGTACAGCTTATGAAATTATGGGAAATGAAATATACTCTCAAAAAGGAGCATTTTCAGCTTTCGTTGGCTCCTAAAGTGTGCGTGCGTGCGTGCGTGTGTGTGTGTGTGTGTGTGGGAAAGGAAACCTCTTAATGTTTTTGTGTATATGTTTTAAGTCTGTGTTTAAGGAATGTTTCCAAATACCTTGTAATGAATAGTTGGAAAATATTTAATTTGGCACCTGCACATATTGGACTGTCTTAACTGCTCAAACACTCTGGAACATCAGTCAAAAGTAAAATATATTTATTTATGTACAGTCAAGCCTGAAACTATTCATACACCTGTCAAATTATGGCTTTAAGTTTTTGTTCAAATATAAATAAATGCAGACTTTTCCCACATATATACATCAGTAAATTTATGAATGGTGGAAAAACCTATTTCTGTAATTGTGTATTAAAACCACCCAGGTCTCCACTTTTGCCATGGCCTCTGTTTTTGGTTTTATCAAACTTATCCCTTTTCTAAACGTTTTAACAAAAACTTTCATCCTTTCTCACTGCAATGGCAATTTCTAGCCAAGAATTATGGGTCGCCTAGTTCTCCATATGATTACGCATGGACGGATCGTAAAGATGTCTGTATAGTCGTACCTGTTTCAGACAAAATCTCTTCAGTGTTTCATATTCAATTCAAATAATATGCGGCACCGCGCAAACTGTTCACTGCAGTCTAAAAAAATGTTGTACGCTTCGCCAACCGAAATCCTGTCCTGAGTAGTAGCTGGGTGGCGCAGTCTCCCACTTGTGGCGCTGATGTGCATACCCTGATAGATATCTGTTTAGAATTCTAAAATGCATGGTGCTGCTTGACACGACATGGTGCATCCAGTGTGCGACCCCCTATACACAGCCATTCAAAGTATACCTAATATTTGTATATGCACACAATACAATTAACATATCATTGACAAATGAACATGACACCTGAACTTCTTACACATTCATCACAATGTTCCATTGCATTTATATATGCAAATACAGTCTCAAAACTTTTGGCCCTGAAAGCCTTCTATACTCTTTCCATACACGTAAAACTGAAATATACTTTGGGCTTCAGATGACCACACGTCTCTGAGCTTTGAACGAAAGGACCCATATGTACAGGGCACCTGGATTGACCAGAGAGTAGAAACTGCATGCAAAGCGTTACCATACTCCACACCCTCTCATCGTCACTACACACACACGTTCTATACAACTGTGTAGGGGATACGTTTCCAGCCACTGAGCATAGAAGTGCACTGCAAGCATTTCCACTGCAGTCCAGCACACATCATTATTGCAAGCAGAGGTTAACAAGGACACACACACACACTCGCTGAAAAATGAGCATGTCAGAAAATCTGCTGTGGCCTTGTTAACCTTTGCATGTTGTAATGATTTGGGTGTACTCAAGAGGCCAAAGTGGTTACTGTCACAGAGCTTTCAGCGATTGTTGCATGCGTGTTTTTGTGTGAAAGACAGACGCAGAGAAAGCAGTGACTGGTATTGTTACAGCAAGCATCAGTATCTGAAATGTGCTGTTAAAATACCATTAGCAAAAATGTGTTAGGACACAGGTAAACTTCGTATTTTATTTTGACTTGATTTATTAATTGTGAAACAGATTTTGATGTTTAAGGTCACTGATGTAATTTATTTCAGACAAATTTATATTAGATTGTATTATATTAATTTACACATTTTTGCACTTTTAGTTAATTATTAATATTTTTATATAGTTTTGCATCTGCAGTTGTTAATGTTGTTTTATAAACAGTTTTATGTTTGTATTGCTAATTTTTATTAAGGTGTAATGTATCATATATTAAGGTATCATTTATGTATTTATTGCGATATAGCATTGATGCTTATTGTCACTGTTTTTATAATATAATATAATAAAATATTATATGATATGATATATGATACGATACAATACAATATAAAATGATACGATATGATACGATACAATATAATATGATATTAAGCTTTATATAAAATAATAGCTACTGGGATTATTGTTCTTCCAGATTTATCTTAAAAAGCCCATAATTTGCATTATAAAAGGTCACATTTTGGTTTTAGGGGTCTCCAACAACATTCGCTATGATTTTTAATGACGCGCGACTCGCATGGACAGGTGAACATCCGATCTACCTGCTTACACTGCGGACACGACGGCACAGATCCGATTCATATCGAATAAATTTCCACAAATAAACAAGGCCTGAATCTGATTTAAGCAAATCGGAATCCATGTGATTTGTTCCTGCTTACGCGTACATTGGCAATATCCGATCTGTGCCACACGGGGGGAAAAAAATCGGATTTGAGTCACTTGTGTAAATGCGGCCTTAGAGCTGTGTAATACACTGCATAAAGGGTCATTTTACAAAACCCAAAATGGGGGCTCTTTAAATTTTTATACAATGTTGGTAATTTAAAACAAATTTATCTTATTATATTACCTTATATTATATTGCATTACATTATATTATTAAGTTTATCAGTTAATACAGTCACATTCTATGCTTTCTTATTATAATTGTATTATTTCTTCTTATTTTGTCTTGTTAAATTTAGTCATACCAACACTAACACAAAATGCTATGTGTTTCTGCTGCATTAACCATTGTTTTTTTTTTTGTTTGTTTTTTTTTTTTTGCTTGTCCAGGTGTATACTCTCCTGCAATGAGAGTGGCTTCCTGGCCGAGTGTGATAGACAGCAGCAAGTCATGGGAAAACTACAGCCGTCATAACAAAGAAAGAATGAGAGAGAAAACCAGAGAAAGAGGACACAAGAAAGAGCGAGAGCGGGAGAGAGAGCGAGAACGATACAAAGAAACAGATCGAGAGCACAGTCCCACCTCCCAAGACCACAGAAGGTAAGATGGCCTGTCAATAGTCTGAGTGCAGTAAAATTAACTGCACATTTAATTGAAGCCATTTTTGCTTGACCTGTGAGTTTTTCTGTCCAAGTATACTTCATAGAAAGCATACATTTAAACCTCAAGCATACCTTATACTGCAGCCCTTAATCTTTCTCTCGTAGACCTTTGAGCACGAAGGTCTCACCTAGGTGTGAATCTAAATCTTTTTTATGTATGTATATATATATATATATATATATATATATATATATATATATATATATATATATATATATGTATGTATATATATATGTGTGTGTGTGTGTGTGTGTATATATATATATATATATATATATATATATATATATATATATATATATATATATATATATATATATATATATATATATATATATATATATATATATATAAATTTAATTTTTGTTTATTTATTTTTTTTTAATTTTAGTATTTCCCTTCAGTTTTCTATGGGTTTTCTATGGGACAAATTATACTTTTTTTTAAGGAAAATGTAATTGTTTTGTCTTCTGAAGTAAAAGTACATTTAAAAATGGAATGAAGAACAAATCGACAGTGAACAAAAACAGTGTTAGTTGTAAAGGTGACGAGAATGAGACTTAGCAGAACTGTTTATGTGCATGATTGTCTCTCTGTCTGTCTGTCTGTCTGTCTGTCCATCTGTATGTGTTTTAAAAATCCAGGCTTTTACAGTATGAACAAAAATATTTAAATAAAGCTGGACACCTCTTTAAGAAATACTGGTATTTCATATAATATTGTAACATAGGGTCAGGAACAACAGATAAGGATCCACGTGCAGTGTATTTAAGAGTATCGTCAGGCAGGCAATAGTTAAAAAAGGTGCAAACTGGACCATATGGATAACCCAAAAGCGTAGTCAGAATAACAGGTGAAGGTCGGGACAGGCAGCAAAACAACAAAACATGGGGTCAAAAGCATGGAAGGCAAGACAAGGAAAATGCTTCACAATGCTCATGGGACGTAATGCGCATCTAGACTCAGCAATGTGTGTGTGAAAGTGATGTGCATTTATAGTCGCGGTAATCAGTCCTTACGAACTTCAGCTGTGTGTTTGCAATCAGTGGTTATCTGAAATGGATGTGTATAAGGTGCATAACGGGATATGTAATCCAGTTCGGTGGCAGATGTGTAGTTCGTGTGACAGTCAGTGTTCTCCATCGATCTTTATTGCTGGTGATCATGACAATTATATCATAGGTGAAGGTTGAGAGTGCCAGTAAATTAAAGATTTAATTTGCTCGTGCAATCATATCCATATCACTATTCATTTTGTTTGAAAGAAAGCCAGCATATTTACATATGCCTAAAAATGTTGCTCTAAGCAGCATGGCTAGCATCTATGTTTTTTTATTTGCATATTGGTTGCAGAAATACATTTTACATCTAAGCAAAGAGGGAAAATATCTTTGCTGTAAGTGTATTGCGACACTAAATTACATTTAGTCACTTATGTATTACTTAACAGAAAAGTATAAAAGTATTTGTGCACAAATGAAAAGGTTTCAGGTTTTAGTTTACTAAACGCACACCTCTAACACTAATAACAAAGTTTGAGTTATACATGTAGCTCCTTTAAAGGGATAATTCACTCAAAAAGGAAAATTCGGCTGTTATTTACTCACACTCAGGTTGTTCCACTCATATTTGTATTTGTTGTTCTACTGAAGATCTTTGTTAAAATGTCAGTAGCCAAACAAATCTTGCCACCTGTTTACTTTATGGCAGCAAGTCGTGATATCTGTTTGGTTACTAACATTCTTCAAAATATCTTCCTCTGTGTTTACCGAAAAAAAAAAAAAAAAGTCAGTTTAGTACAACCTGAAGTTACCTGAAGTAAATGATGACAAATATGTAATTTTGCATGAACTATCTCAAGAAATGTCCCTGTGCTTTTGTCCATGCAATGGAAATTCAGGTTTAGACTGATGTGAGGGTGTATAAATGTTGACAGGCTGTTGTTTTGTTAAATGGAATAGTTTCTAAAAATCATTCAATCATGTATTCAACCTCATGTCGTTCTAAACCAGCGCTACTTGCATTCCTCTGTGAAACACAAAATGAGACATTTGAAGCCTGCTGGTTGCTGTTTTCCAGTCAATTAGTCCTCAACAGAACTTCAGCTTTTAAACTGAACAAAAAACAATACTTCTGCAGGATTTCATATCTTCTTCAGACATTTGATAGAGTCATTTAAAACACCCGACTTAACAAAACAAACTTTTCGCAAATCAGACATCACTACATCTTTCATGAACTTTCACAAAGCTATCACTTGGGTCCAGAGGAAGTGAAATATAGAACATTTTATTTATTAATTAATTAATTTATTTGTTTGTATATGCATTGGTGCTTTGCAACCTTTTTGGCAGTCATTTCACTTTCTTGTAACAAAACAACCAGCATATTTCTCTTAAAATTGCTGCTTTTGTCCTCCACATTTATATGGTTTGAAAAGATTGCTAAATTTTGGGCAGTCCATATTATGTTCTCTTTGACCTCGCACACATTTATGCTCTGCATTTGTGCTGTGGTGGCAGTATGTTCAGTGTTAGGTCACATGAGGAAAAAGCGCTGAGATTAAAACAGGCCAGTAGAACAGCTGGGAAGCACACTGGTCTGTCACACTTATGAAAGCAACATGTGCTCTCACTTTTAGATCATCTCTCTCTTTCTCTCACTTCCAACTTCTCTCTTGCAGATCACATTCTTCTTTTATCCAATGACAATGGTTAAAGCTTAGTTTTCTGCTTAAAATATCATATTTCGTAATATGATTATTTAAAAGTGATTGTGATGTACATTAAAATAAATATAAAAAGTTATACCAAAGGAAATTTGTAAAAACAGAGCATTTTTTTCCAACAAAATCAGGCTATACAAAGTGGTGAAAATTAGTTTTAATGTTTGCTGTTGCTACTTTGTTTTTTTTTATCCATTGCTTTTTATTTATTTTTTTATTCTTATCAGTTAACAATCCAAAGTAATCCACAATTTACTTTGTGAGTTGTTCTTTTTTAGGAGATTGTCGCGGTTGTTGTAGCTTCTAAATCATATTGACAGGAACACAAATGAACCGATTCAGATTCGAACTGAAGCATTAGAAAACATGCAATAGGCTACCAAAAAAGGCGCAAATTCTACACAGTTTTGCAATCTTAAAGGGCTCCACAGAGTATTAAAATAAAAAAGGTCTATGGTTGGATAAACATGTGAGCATTTTAGTGACTTTTCCTCATACAATATTATCTACTGTAGATAGATAGACCATTAATGCAATACCACCATTTACAAACTAGCGACTAGTGACAAACTAGTACTAGTGAAGTGTGCAGCCCTATTGGAATGTGCATTTTGTCAATGAAGCCCATTCTAGTAAATCTCCAGTAGGTGCTTTCAGACTGAACAGCATTTATTAAACCATTGTAGTACAGTGACAAGCTATATGCAAAAATTTTTATCTATTTATTAAAATAGTCATGATGTCGATATAATCGTTCTTTGATAATGACAGCCGTTTGCATCACTTTTCAATGAACTATGGCTCTGTGTATTAAATACTGCACATGAAATTATCAGACATAATAACAAGTTTTTACTCCAAACCTGAACTTGAAATAAATTTTTAAATTCTAAACTTAAACCTCTAGTTCCAAAATCATGGGATTATTCATAGTCATGTTGAATCAATGAAAGGAGTTAAAGTTGCCATGAAATGGAAGTTAAGATAATCCATTTTTTTCCAAATCATGATGTACATTGAATAGAAACAGTCCTGAATGTAGGGTGGTGCATAATTTTTTCATTTGGGAACTGATTGGTTCATTGAAAAATGGGTGTTTCTATTAGAATGAAGAAAAGATTAATGAACCGTCAAAAGTAGAGCAGAAAAAATACAGGCCCATGATAGCCCCTCCCAAATGGCATTCCATGTGACCAGAAGTAAAAAAAATTTCAGGGGAGATGGAAAGTTGTGGTATTTGATATAAAATTATAAGAACAAGGTGTTATGGTGGCGCAGTGAGTCGCGCTGGCGCCTCAGAGCAAAAAGGTTGCTGGTTCGAGCCTCGGCTGGGTCAGTTGGCATTTCTGTGTGGAGTTTGCATGTTCTCCATTTGTTCGTGTGGGTTTCCTTCGGGTGCTTCCAGTTTCCCCCACAGTCCAAAGACATGCGCTACAGGTAAATTGGGTAAGCTAAACTGTCTGTAGTGTATTGTTTCCTGGTAATGAGTTGCAGCTAAAAGGGCATCCGCTGTGTAAAACCTATGCTGGATAAGTTGGCGGTTCATTCCACTGTGGCAAACCTGAGATCTGTGACCCCAGATTAATTAAGGGAGTAAGCTGAAAAGAAAATGAATGAACGAAATATGAGGGCAAATAAATTTTTTACAAAACAATTAAATACACAGATACATCATTCATAACAAGCGCTACTGTATAAATATAAAAAAGAGAAGAACAAAAATTAGATTTCATGCTGACTTTAAATCTTCTGTCAATAATTCAGCACTATGGGGACCTTCCTTTCGTCATGTTTGAAGGTTTCACACAAGAGCGCCCTCTGGCATTTGGAGGAGATTTACAACTGATAATACAACCATGCTTCCCTGACTCATTTACAAATTTGCCCAGGCCTAATTTCTGTGCATGATGGAGGCACATCGAAAGAACACGAGAGCCTATTTCTCAAAATCTGCATGAGTATATCCTCTCTAGTGTCTTAAGGGTCGCTTTTTAATCAAAAAAGTGTGACAACGTGCTAAATAAAATGACTGCCAAATCTCAACATGAGTCTTCTGACTCACTGCTGGGTCTGTGTGAGGACACACACACACTGACACACACACACAAAGAGACAGCCACACACACTTTTGGCGTGTGTACCAGATAAACTAGGGCTGAAGTTGTCACACACTGGCATTCATGCCAGGGCTTTGAGGGTATGTTAGCGGCTT